AGTCATGAGAACACTCTTCTTTTAAAGTAAATGAGTGAATATTTGTTAGTATGAAAATGAAATTGATCTGCCTCCCCAGTGGAAGGGAGAGTCAGAGCCTGGGGCTCTTCTGGCTGGTGGGGCCCACTTGTGCATTGGGCACTTTTTTTGTTGTGATGCCCACAGGGCAGAAAGGTAGATTGCAGCACATTTTTGACAGGCAGATGGGACTTGAAAAACATTAGTGAAGGAAAGCAAGAAATTCAGAAGGAGAATGAATTAATGGGAGGAGGAAAGTGAGGAAAGAGAGGACAGGTAAGAAGGAAAGGGAACAAACATTTATTAAGTGCCTACTGTGTGAAAGTGGATCATAGGATGAATTTGGACGTGAAAGGGGGACCATTGAGTCCCTTATTTTATAGATGAGGAAACTGAGGCACAGAGAGGTTGTGTGACTAAGGCAGGATTTAAACCCAGGTTTATCCTTACTCCAAGTCTAGTTATCTGTCTACTGTGCCATGTAGTGGTCTCCTGGTGTGTCACATCCTTTATAACTGCTGGAGAGAGAGATTAAGGGTGCCAAGAGGAAATTTACAAAACTGCACAGTAACATCAAAGTGTTAACTTCCCCACCTCTGTCTTAGAAATCGGCTTATCTCTCAAGTGTATTCTTGACATTAGCATCAGTCTAGAACAGATCAAGGAAGAATATGCGTTTGTTAGCTAACTTTGATGGGCATGTTACAATGTCACCTTCCCAATAACCACTTTCAGTGCCAAGCCGTAGAAATGCAAAGACTTTCATTCCTTTTGGCTGAATTTTATCCGTAATGTAGCTAAGACCTTTCTTGTAGGAAGAAGTAGCTTTTCCCCCACCCCAAGTAGAATTCCTTGAAAGTTCTACCATTCACTGAGGCCATGTTCCCTTATCAGGGACGTGAAACATTTAGCTCAACATATTTAATCAAACCTCTGGATTGGCAACAAAGCAGAATTCTTAAGCACTGTTCCTGGTGCTTGTGTAGGATGGGATCCAAAGCAGCATTCACTAATCAATACATTAATCCCAAATGAAAACGGGCATGTAGCATGCTCTGGCTCTATTTAGTGAGCCAGCCTGGAAAATCGCCTACGTAAACATTGGAGGGTGATTTTGGATGGTGCAGTCTGTTCTAATTTTAGCTGAACTGTTTTGCAAGGTTTGATAAGCAAAGTAAGTACAGTATTCTATAAATATGGCCAGTTCCTCAAATGCACATCACTGTGAATAAATGCTTATGCCTTCAATACTGATTCTTGTTTTCTTAATTATAGACTTTCTCTCTCCAGATAGAAAACAACTTCCTAGGTGGCAGAAATGCTCAAAGTCTCCACCCTGTCCCCGAACGTAGCATCACCTATAGAGAGGTAGTGTTAGCATGGTGGATGGTGCATTGGGTCTGGATTCAGGAAGAACTGCGTTCTTACAGTGGGCTAGGCACTATGCTAAGCATTAAGGATACAAGGTAAAAACATTCCCTACCCTCTAGGAGCTTATATTTCAATTGAGGAGATAGCATGTAAATTATATATATATATATATATATATATACACACACATATATACATATATATAAATATGTATATGAGAGAGAGAGAGAGAGAGAGAGAGAGAGAGAGAGAGAGAGAGAGAATGAATGAATATCTTAGAGGGAAGGGCATTAGCAATAGGGGCCACTGGGGGGAAGCCTTCTGTAGAAGGTGCCATTTGAACTCGGTCTTGGAGGAAGGCAGGGAGGCTAACAGGTGGAGGTGATGGGGTGGAATATTGTTGGGCCATAGACTGTGTGCACACTCGAAAGGTAGGATAGGGCCAAATTGTAAAAGGCTTTAAAAGCTAAACAGGCGATTTTATATTTGATCCCTGAGATAATAGGAAACTACTGGAGTTTGTTGAGTGTGGGGTGGTCACATGGTCAGACCTCCACTTTAGGGAGAGGACTTTGGCAGCTGAATGGAGGATGGTCTGGAGTGGGGAGAGACTCAAGGCTGAGAGACCAACCAGAAGGCTATTGCAATGGTCAAAGGGAGAGGTGATGAGGGCTTACACCAGAGCAGTGGTTGTGAGTGGATGGAGAGATATTGTAAAGTTAAAAATGTTGAGATTTGGCAACAGAGTGGATATGTGGGATGAGTGAGGATGAGACGACTCCCCTCAAAGCCCAGCCACCTCATATCACTCCATCACAGTTGGAAAAATAGCCCCAGACCGAGTAATAATCATTAAATCAATAGAAAAACTACCATAGGTGCATGTCGCCGGCCCAGGTCTGCATGAAGAAGCAGCAAGAAGGCTTTGGGTACCTTCACCTTTGGGAAATAGGGAAAACCAGGGAATTGTGGAGTCTGAAGCCTTGTACCAGGAGCAGGGAGAGGGGAGTCTGGACCAAGGTCTAGAGCCTACAGCAGTGTCACTGTCTCTGTCCATAACTAGAAATCAGGAACCTGGGGGTCTCAGACCCAGAGGGCAATGAGGAGAGCACCCTGTAAGCCAGATAGGTCAAGCTTAGTGCTCTCTAGGTCTGCTCCTGAGTCCCTTGAAGAACATTTTACGGTTTACCCTGACCCCAGATAATACTGATCAGGACCAAAGAAGGCCTGACTCTTCCTTCTAGAGGTGCGCAGATGTTGGTCCTGACATTTTAGGAACTAAAACTCAAAAAAAATAGATAGAAGAAAACACCAATAATAGAGGAGTAAGGGGTCAAGGATGATACTAGGTTTGTGAGACTGGGTGCCTGAGCATTCAACAGTCATAAGAAGGTCAAGAAGAGAGGAGGATTTTGAGAGAAAGATACCAAATTCTCTTTTTGTATTTGTCAAGTATGGGCTGTCTCGGATATATCCAATGGGCATATGATGGTGTAGGACTATAGCTAGAAGGCAGCTTGGATGGATGTGTAGATCTGGGCATTATCTGCGTAGAAATGATCATTGAGCTGGCATGCTAATCAGGTGAGCTAGGAAAGAGGGAGAAGGGATGAGCACCCAGGACAGAGCCTGGCATGTTTGCTACTTGGTTGATCTTCTGATAATGCAGAAGCACCAAAGGCCCACAAATCCAGTTTATAGAAAGACATAAAGCTTGGAATATCTCAGGGTGAGTTAAAAGAGGTCATTGATTGTGAAGAGTAAGCAAGGTGCTTAATAGAGAGCGCTGGACCTAAAGCCAAGAAGATCTGAGTTCAAATCCTGCCTCAGACACTGTATCTAACCCTGGATAAGTCACTTAACCGTTGTCTGCCTCAGTTTCTTCAGTAGTAAACTGGGAATAATAACAGCACCTACCTCCCAGGGTTGTTGTGAGGATAAAATGAAATGATAATTATAAAGAGCTTTATACATCTTAGAACACTATATGAATACTATTATTGTGACTATTATTATCATTATTACTAAGACTAAGGTCCTTTGTTTGCACATAGTATGTTTTAAGAACGTATGCATGACCTTTTTTTCCCCTAAGAAATTGCACGTATCATTTTAAAACAATGAACAGCTCTTCAGAGAGCAAGAAAAAAAAAAGTTGAGCGTAGTGGGAGAGGAAACACTTATCTGTGGGAGTGACGGAGGAGAGACTAGTGACAGAGTGTGGACAATGGAAATGAATGTTAATTTGTTAACCTCAGACTCCAGAGTCAAATGACATGATTTCAAGCCAGCAGGGTTTCCGTTATAACTTTCTACTGCACTTGTGTGGGTCTATTATGTTGACCCCATTCTGCAGGAATCTGACTGATTATGACTGAATATTGCAGAATAGCTGAATTCTGTGACCATTTTAGGGTAACGATAGCCACATGTAAGAGACACTTCTGAATCATGGTTTTCGGAGAAATGACATTGCCATCCATTTTATCTTTGAATGAAAAGGGTGATGACTATGTTTGTGTCTTTTCCCCATTCAAAAGATGGGGGGAAATACTCATCTCTGCCTGTTGCCCTTGTATTATTGAAAGTTGGAAGAAAGAGGCAGACAGGAGTCTTATATTCATTGTTAGATTTATAGTTGGGAATACTAGTCAAATCCTGCCTCCTAACTTGTGTGACCCTGGGTTAGTCACTTAAATTCTCTGTTCCTCAGTTTCCTCATCAGTAAAATGAGAGTGATAATACCTGCAGTTTCCTACCTCACAGGTTCAGTGAACTATAAAAGCACTAACAAATCGAACAGTAAAATGTTGGTAATGTTTGGGTTTGGATATACACACATACACATACACACATATGTGTGTGTATATATATATATATACATATATACAGATACATATGCATACATATGTATATACACACGTATATGTATATATGTATGTGTGCATGTATGTATGTATCTCCAGTGCCTGACTCAGTGCCTTACCACATTTATTGGTTTGATGAATGAATGAATGAATGAATGAATGTAGTATGACAAGGTCCTTGCCCTTTGCTCACTTATAGTCTAGGTTGGAAGGGAAGAAAAAGTTAAATAAACATCAGGAAGTATGTGCTGACTGTCAGTTGAGGAGCTTAAACCAATCAATAGAGCAGTTCTTTCCTCCCCCCAATTTTAATATTTTATTTTTCCCAATTATATATCAAAACAATTTTCAACCTTTTTTGAGTTTTGAATTCTCTCCCACCTTCTCTCCCTTCTGCCATCATTGAGAAGGGAAGCTTTTTGATAAAGGTTATACGTGTGCAGTCATGCAAAACATATTTTCATATTAGTCATGTGAAAGAAAACACACACAGAAAAGACAAGAAAAATGAAGAAAGTAAAATAACAGTAAGCTTTGAATGGAGCCATTCCCAGGGCGGCAAGCTCACTGAGGGGCACAGTGGTTGGGACTGCCAAGGGAGGAACCGGTTGAGGAGGGAGATGGTCAGAAATCTCAGAAGTTGCAGGTTCCTTCTTGTTTCTTAGTTACTTGTCTCACTCAGAGATGGTCGGTCGGTTTTCCTGATGTCACTTGTCTGTCTCTGCAAACATTTTTACCCATCAGCCTCAGCAGAATGGTATCTCCCCATGCATGTTCAAGGCCTTTGTCAGCAAGAGTCACCCTGAATTCTCCTCCAACAGACAGCAGGATGCCCAGGAGTTTTTCTTGCACCTGGTAAATCTAGTGGAGGTAAGTACTCTTTCTCTTTCCTTTTTTTTTTAAGAAAAAAAATTATAATTTTTTCAATTAAGGGTGAATAATCTTATTTAAAAAATGGTAAGATGAGTTTTTTTAAAAACTAGCTCACCACATTTCTGCACAGTAGTCTGGGAATGCTCAGCTCATTCTATTCTGCCTACCCAATCCAAAATCTTAGTCTTTTTGAAACCTGGCTTAACATTCCCCCCTACCCCATTTGACTGATTGTGACTTTCTGATCTGCTTCTTTCTCATTTGTAGTGTATTAATTTGTGTTTCCTGATATTGTTGCTCAATAGAATATGAGCTCCTTGAGGGAAGGGCCTGTTGGGTATTGATCTTTGTATTCCCTAGTGCCCAGCACATAGTAGGTGCTTAAATACTTGTTGAATTGAAAGTAAATAAAAATTGAATTAAACACTTATTGAATTGGATTAAAAGTGTTCCATTACTCCTACCAGACTATAGGCTCCATAAGGATCATGTCCTATTTCCTTTCTGTCCCCCTCCTGGCCAATAATGAATCAATGAAAAGGCATTTATTAGACACCTACTATGTGCCAGGCATTGTACTAAGAGCTGGGGATACAAGGAAAGGCACAATCAATCTCTGCCCTCAAGAAGCTCATAATCTAATGGTGTGGGTGTGTGTGTGTGTGTGTATGTATGTGTATAAGATAACATACAAATAACTGTACAAAGAAGACATATACAGGGTAAATTGGAGAGAAGGTACTAGCATTAAATGCAGAAAAGGCTTCTTATAAAAGGAGATTTTTAGCTATTAATTAAAGGAAGTTGGGGAAGCCAGGAGACTGGGAGGTAAGGAGGGAGAAAATCCCAGGCATGGGGCACAGTCAGTGAAAATGCCTGGAATTTGGAGATGGAGGGTCTTGTTTGAGGGACAGCAGGGGGGGCCCATGTCCCTGGACTGTAGAATCCCTTGGAGGGGAGAAAGAAGAGCAAAAGATGGGAAAGGTAGGAAGGGGCCAGGTTATGAATTTGAGCTTAGTTCTTCCTGACTCAGAGCTCAGCTTTCTATCTCCTGCGCTGCCACTGCCTCTATTATTAGTCTGCCGATATCGGAATACATGAACTTGGTCTAATCCAACCCCCAGAGGAACCGAATTGGCTCTGAAAATCCAAGCGACGTTTTCCGGTTTGTGGTGGAAGAACGGATTCAGTGCTGTCAGTCCAGGAAGGTGCGCTACACCGAGAGGGTCGACTATTTGATGCAGCTGCCGGTGGCCATGGAGGCAGCAACCAACAAGGGTAAGACAGACACAAAGGCAGGCACGGATGTGTGCGTGTGTACACACACAGACACACACACGCACACACGCACACACGCACACACGCACACGCACACGCATCCCTAGAACAGAGATTATTTACTCGCATCCTTACAAGAGAAAACTAAAACCTTAAACGTGGGAGGCCTCGCGCTATGTCCCGATGATGCGAAGATGTGTTGAAAGAACAGCCATCAGCCTCTGGATGCTTATACTTCTGCGTGGAGGATGCAGCACTTCAGCCGCTAAATCTGACGGTCCCATAGCGTTTGTTACATCCCTATTGGCACGTTAGCCCTCTTAATCTGGCAGGAAAATCCCCCAAATCTCAATGTCCTTTTGCCAACTGATCCTAAAAGTAACTAGGATTCTGAATGAAGGTTTTCCTTCTCAGGAGCAGTCAACAACAGCCATTTCCAAGGTTGCTCATTTCATCTTGGTTGTCTTTCCTCCCCCCCTCAGACGAGCTGATTGCCTATGAGTTGACGAGAAGGGAAGCGGAGACATCCAGGAGACCCCTCCCAGAATTGGTCCGGGCCAGGATTCCTTTTAGTGCCTGCCTTCAGGCCTTCTCTGAACCGGATAACGTGGAAGATTTTTGGAGCAGCGCCTTACAAGCAAAGTCTGCGGGTGTGAAGTAGGTGCATGGGCTGTGTGTGTGTGTGTGTGTGTGTGTGTGTGTGTGTGTACAGCAGAGGTTCTTAACCTGGGGGCTGTGCATAGATTGAATGGGGGTGGGTCTATGAACTTGATAGGGTGAAAAAACATATCTTTATTTTCACTAATCTCTAAGTGAATTTTGGCATTTCCTTTAATTATTTAAAAACGTTATTTGAAAAGTGTGTAGGCTTTACTAGGCTGACCAAGGGGTTCACACAGATACAAAAGGGTTAAGAACCGTTGGTTTAGAGGGACAAGTCTAAAACTTTGTAAATTGAGCAATGCTTATCTAGTTGTCTCCATCACTAGCGAGGTGAGGTGAGCAGGGCACCCTCCCTCAAACCAGACACAAAACACAACTATAATTTTTCTGTAACACTGTTCAGCTTATACTTCTACTACTGCTAGTAAATATTATATAAACAGCAAGGAATGGGCCTAATAAATCTACTCCCTAATGGAAATTTATATATATATATATAAATATATGTCATATATTTATTGTAATAGTCCAGATCTGAGATGAGGAGGGCCCACCACCAGCATGGTAGCAGTATCAGAGGAGAGAATGGGGGTACAGAGGAGAGATGTGAAGGTGGAATGGACAGGACTTTGCAACAAATTGGATATGGGGCGTGTGAGGAAGAGTGACCCAGTTCTGAGGATGATACCTAGGTTGTGAGCATGGGTGCCTGGAAGGATGCTGGTACTTCTCCACAGTAATAGGGAAGTTAGAAAAGGGGAATGCTTGAGAATGGGTGAAATTATGAATTCAGTTTTGGACGTGGAAAGTGTAGAACTCGTAAGAACTCTTGCTGGTCTGATAGCTTTGGAATCCCCAATGTCTTGCTGAAGCAGTTGAGGCCTGTCCTATGTCATTCATTGTTTTCTTTATCTTCTTTTCTTCTTTATCTTCTTTCTTTATCTATCTTTATCTTCTATTCAAAAAGCAGCCTTTTCTTTTTAGGAAGTCATTTGTCCATCAACTCCCTATCTCCTGAAATGGCAAGAAGAGAACCTTTCATTTCTTAAAGAGCAGATCCAACCTGGATACCTAGGTTAAAAGTTAGGGGGCACTTATATTTGCTTGTAAAGGCTGGTTTCATTAGCTCTAGTTGCTTATCAATCAATCAATAATCATTTATTAAGTGTATACCATGTGCCAGGCACTGTGCTAAGCCCTAGGGTTACAAAAAGAGGCAAAAGACAGTCTCCTGTAAAAGATGGGATTTTAGTTAAAATCTAAAGGAATAGTCCCTTGGATTAAAACAAAACACCTGGATTACCTTCCTATATTTACTACCTATTTCAGATCATGCTCTGGGACAAGTTACCCAAACACCTAAATTTGCAAGACCAAATCATAAGAAAAATAGTGGAGAATGGAAAAAGGTTCCTTTCAGACCTATTACTGGGGGAGAGGATTCTTAACACAGCAAGGTATAGGAGGGATCATAAAAACTAATGCTGACAATTTTAATTTCATAAAATTATAAAGCTTTGCATTAGCAAAAATCAGTATACTTAGGGCAAGAAGGGAAGATGTCATTTGTTCAGTTGCACCAAATATCTCTGAAAAAGTCCATTAGGTAAAGTATAGATAGAGAATTAAAACAAGTATATAAGACCAAAAGCCATTCCCCAGCAGTTAACTAATATAATAAAACAGTTTTCAGAAGATAAGAATCAAGTGTGAACAAAATGGCATGATGCTTCCTGGTTCAAGATCATTTTGTTCATCAAAAAGTGATTTTTATGCTTTTGGTTATGTAGAAGGCCATGGTAGATGCTGTCCACAGCTTATTACATATGGGGTTCCTGCCTTTTGGAACATTTTTCTTGAAAAGGAATTATGGTCTCCTCTATATATAAAGAACATTCTTAACAGTTTAGAGGTGACTGAATATTATTGATGATCAATACGAGCAAACTTCTGATGTAAAGAAGATGGAAAAATATGGCCCGGGGAAGCAGGAGGTTTTTACGAAGTTTTCTTGAAATGTTGTGAACATCGGTTTGGGGAAACCAGAGAAGGGAATTGGTCAAAGGGAATAGCCTATAATTATATCTTCTCTTTGGCATAGTGATGGAATAGGAGGAGAGAGTTGCCCTTTTTTTAACCTTAGTTGTGAGATTATCAGAGCCCATGGATGTTCACAGCACATCCAAGAAAGAGGAAGGGCTCTCTTTTCTACGTGACCTTTCCTCCATAGGACTTTTAGAAAGTATTAGAGGACAATTAATATAATTTAGAAATGGGAAGTGTTTATGTCTGCATGCACATATACACATGTTCAGGGACTGACACCCATTAGTTTAATAGATAGGAGCTTAGAAAATTAGCAGTGTAAATATGCTGTTGTGTCTGTTTTTAATTCACTGGCCTATCAGTTTGCTTGTCTTCATTATTCATTCGTTCACGCCTTTATCCAGCACCAGTTTGCCAAGCTCTTGCTCTGTATGGTGCACTGTACCAGGCATGGAGAGGAGGGTCAAAGGCAAACAATTTATGACTTCTTTCTGTTCCATCCACTTGTGCAGATTGAAGTCCTTCCCCATGCCTCAGCAAACCATCTAAATGAGTCTCTGTGGTGTCTAGATTCTTCCTTTAGTGACCATTGTCTCTAGTGATGAGCCTTTCCACACTCAGCTGGGTGAGTCGTGGGACCACACACTCACAACTGACTGGTCACTGAGCCTGAGGTCAAAGTCTTTCCAGTTTGGTAGATGGGCTGAATCTTCATTCTGCAAGCACAGGCCTTAGGAGCCTGAGGTCCCTTCCGTAGTCCAGGGAGACATGGGAACAAGACTTTATAGAAACTTTCTACCAAATCAAGTGCTTCAGTCCTGACATATTGATGTATTTATCATTTATCACAATGACTGAAAGCACTGGATATCCATTCAGTCATTATCTTACTTTGAACCCAGCCTTCAAAGCCCTTGAAATAATAATGATAACAATACTAAGCAGAATATTATAATACTAATTAATAAGCAGAACTATTTTTAAAATTAATTTTTATTGATGTCTTTTTTTAATCCCCTAAACTTCTCCCTGTAATTGCTCTCTTTGACTCAACCAGAGAGCCATTCTACATGACAAAGGATTTAGACTTTTATTTTGTATTATAACATAAGGGGAAAATCCCAACAATTCGCTTCATGCGAAAAAAAATAAATGTCCAATTCATCCCTTTGCTAAGTGAACAAGCCCTAATTTGCTGCCATTGGAGTTAAGTTCCTTGAAAGCAGCACTTTTGTTTGTTTCTATTTGTACCCCTAGCACTTAGCAGAGTGCCTGACCCATAGTAAAGCACTCAACTGATGCTTTGTCTATCTAGTAAACCTTAATAAAGACAACTTTCACTAGTTAATCAAACAGACTGCTGGTTTTAGGATAGAAGAGTCAGTACCCGAGACTTCTAGAACTGGTTGGCAGTTCATGGTTATTAGACCCCACCAGGTTCAGAAAACTATGTATGAGCCAAACTTGTAATGATTCTAGCCCAATTTCCATTTGTCAACAACGGTTTAGTAAATGCTAGTAAATAGGGGCAGCTAGGTGGCGAAGTGATTAGAGCACCGGCCCTGGGGTCAGGAGGACCTGAGTTCAAATCCGATCTCAGATCAGACACTTGACACTTACTAGCTATGTGACCCTGGGCAAATCACTTACCCTCAAAATGCCTTGCCCCCCAAAATACTAGTAAATACTCCCTTTCAGGGAGGAGTACGTGTGGTTTGGGGTGAACTAGGAAGGGTTCAGTGAAAATACCACTGGCTCTGGTTCCAAGTCCATCTCTGACTACCAGCGTGGCCTTGGGGAAGTCACTACCCTCCTGAGCCTCAGTTTCTTTATCTGTTAAATGAGAGAACTGGCTTCAGAGGTGCCTCGCATCTTGAGAGCTGGGGCCCCAGTCACTCGCTGAGCTTGCATAGGACTCTGCCGCAGCCTCGATTCTGCTTTTCCTAGCATCAGGAAATGCTGTTGCATGAACCTACCACACGAGGGGGCCAATGGTACAAGATTTCAATACCCTCTTAGCTCTCAAAATCGGAGCCTCCCATTTTTGGATTTGGTGAGCTCTAACAAATGGAAACGCGGAGAGGTTTGCTAGCAGAGGGCAGGGGTAAAAATTAGGTAAGGATGTAATCTATGTTTGACTCAAGATACTATAAAAAGGCAGCATCACATAGTGGATACTGTTGGCCTTGGAGTCAAAAAGACCTGGTTCAAATCCCACTTCTGAGAATTACTGTATGACCTTGGAGAAGTCACTTAATATCTGTGGGCCTCAGTTTCCTCAACAGCAAAATGATGTAGTTAGACTAGATGGTGTCTGGAGCCCCCTTCAACCAGTCTAAGATCCTATGTTCCTGACACCCTTTCTTGCTCTTGGAAGTGGGCACACACACACACAGACCCAGTGGCACTGCCCTCAGACCCATATTGTTCCAATTACCTGAGTTGCTGGGCATGAGGAGAAGGGAGAAAGGTATAGCTTGGAAGAATCTGTCTTCTCCTCTCAAGTGCAGTGGGTGACTCTTCAATGACAAAATAACTCAGAGTCAACTTTTTCCTCTCTACCCTCAGTGCTGGTTGGAGATCTCACCCTGACACTAGCCTCTCCAGCCTTTGCCTTTCGGACAGCCCATAGCCCATGGTGCACTGCCTACTACCTATAGTCCACAACCTGCTTGGAGAACCCTTGAGGACTGTACTTTGAGACCCACTGGTGCTGGCCATTGGTGGGTTCCTCTAGTATGTATTTTCTTAAGAACAGAAAAATGCTAATAAAAAGAGGGAGGAAAAGCTCTATTTCTGACATTCATTAACAGAATCTTGGTATCAGGTATATTTGGGTGGCTAGACATATCAAAAGCTCAGAATTTTATTTTATGTATTAGTGAATTTGACTTTGTTTACTTTCACATTAGGAATAGTATTCAGTACTTCTTCTTTGGAGATACCACTCTCTCTTCTTGAGATTCAGCTCCCTCCAATGTAAAATGGGAGAGTTGGACAAGATGATTTGCTGTAAGGGAACGGCTTTGTGAACCAGCTCTGGCATTCTGTGATTTTATGAAACCAGATGAGAAAAGACATTTATTTTTGAAACTTTTGAAGGCTGGGTAGAGTTAATAATAGGTCACTGGTGACCTTTTCCCAGAACTTGCATATGTACTTTGTCATGTATAGTTTACTAAGTCATTCTTATAAAATGTGTAGTCATTATGATTCTCCTTGGGGAAATTGGGGAAACTGAGCCAACTTCATGGTTAAATGATGTGACCAAGATAACATCATTTATATAAATCAGTCATCAGTAAGCATTTATTATATGTTTACTATATGCCAGTCAGTAGCTGGTGGCTCAGTGGATAGAGCACTGGGCCTGGAGTTAGGAAGACCTGAGTTCAAATGTCACCTCAGGCACTTAATAGCTATGTGACTCTGGGCAAATCACTTTCAGTTCCCTCATCTGTAAAATGAACCGGAGAAACAAATGGCAAACCACTCCAATATCTTTGTCAAGAAAACACTAAATGGGGTCACGAAGAGTCAGACACGACTGAAATGACTCAACAACAACACATATCAGTTAGTCAACTTACGGTTCACTATGTCGATGCTGGGGATACTAATCAAAGAAGCAAATGAGAATTGCTGATAACACTGATAATGGTGATGAGAATGGTGATGATTACTAACAATTCTATGGTATTGAGGTTTAAAGTATTATCTTAAAATTATTTTTCACAGCTTTGCTGGGGAGTTCATAAGTAACAGCTCAGACAAATCCTGGCTGTGTGACTGTTGGCAGATCATTTAACCTCTCAGTGTCCAAAGCAACTATGGATTTCTATATTTTGTGGAGAAGGGGCTGCCCTGCATTGATCAGAGGAGTCCCTCACCAAGAGGTCCTTGCCCTGATGAAATGACAGGCTTATCCCCAGAAACTTCTTAAAGAAGTAACAGCTCACATTGACATATCAGTTACAGAGCCAACTTGTGAGATATATGTGTTGTCACTCCCATTTTACAGATGAGGAAACTGAGGCCCAGGGATGTGAAGTGGCTTGCATGATTACATGACTAGTTAATGGCAAAGCCAGGGCTTAGATGCAGGTTTTCTGTCTCTAAATCCAATATTCTTTCCCTTCCCAACACCTGATACGAAGTCCTGATTCTCCTGTCTCACTGCCCGTCCAGTGCCCGCTTCAGCACAATTTGTCCAGAGTGTTCTGTATCATTATGTATAACTCTGTCTGAGTTGGGACAGAGGGTAGCCTTGGGTCAGCTTATGGAGATCCCATATGGCAGTGCAAGCAGTAAATGGTTTGGTGTAGCGGGTTGGGTATCCTCCTCAGAGGTGCCAACTTCTCCCTTCCCCAACCTCATCCCACCCAAGACTTCTGCCTCTCAGAGGAGGTGTAGAAAAAACTCAAAAACAAGACTCCATTTTGAAGGTAAAGTCCTCAAATTTGGCGAAGCAGGTGGTTATTTAATGTGGTGGCTTATTGCTGACATCTGCTCAGGGTCCAGGCCACCAGGCAGCCATGCATTAAGGGAAGCAATGTTATAATGAGGTCCTTGTACTTCCCAGCAATAAACCCTTGCACAACGGCTGCTAATATAAACCCCTCTCATACCAACCTTCACACTAAATTATAACAGTCCTATTTTCTTAGCATTTTACAATTTGCAAAGTGCTTTGTCTCCAAGAACCAGTGAGATAGGGAAAATATTTTCTTCATTTTACAGATGAAGAAACTGAGGCTGTATGAGGTTAAATGACTAGCCTATGTTCATATCAATCAGAAAACATTTATTAAGTACCAACTGTGTGTCAGTAGCTGTGCTAAGCACTGGGGATTCAAAGGCAAATAAGAAACTGTTCCTTTCCTCAAACAGCTTATATTCACATGAAGGTGGGCTTTGAATCCAGAACTCCACACCAAAGTGGATGGTATCATAGTCAGACTTTTCTGTTTATCTCTAGAGAGAGTGAGTTTTACGATGATTCGAAGGTCAGTGGTGATTTTTAAGTGCCTGCTATGTGCTAATCTCTGTGCTGGGCTCTGGGCATCTAAGACAAATGGACGATAGCTCTTGCCCTCATGAAGCTTACATTGTGAGAATACAAAAAACATACCAAGTATATTCCAAGTAATTTTGGGGGTGGGCAGGCTCAATAAACATTTAGTAAGCACCTACTATGTGCCAGGCATTCTGATAATTGCTTTACAAATGTTATCTCATCTGATCAGGAAAAGCCTCGTGTAAGATGTAGCACTTGAACCTTGAAGGGACCCAGGGATTCCAAACTACATAGCTGAGGCTGGAGAGCATTGTAGGCTAGGGCGGACAACTTATACTCAGAAGCACAGAGATAGGAGATAGGATTTCCTGTATGGAAAGAGCCAGATGCCCAGTTTGACTCTAATGCAGAGTGTCTAAGGAAGGAGAAATGTTGAGTTAACCTGGAAAGATAGATTGGAGCCAGACTCTGAAGGGCTTTAAATAGTGAGGGGAGGAATTTTTATTTTTTTTATCCCAGAGGTAATAGTGAGCCACTGACTCTTCATGAGTAGGGGAGTGCCATCATCAAACCTTCTTGTGTTTTAGGAATATTTATTAAAGAGAAGAGAGACTAGAAGTGTGGAGGACAATTAGGAGAGGTGATGAAGGCTCCTTCACAGGAAATAGTGTATGGTCACTTATACTTAGATGATGGCCTTTAATTAGTAGAAGACTCAGCTGAAATTTAAAAACTATGCAAGGAATGAGGAGAAGAGAGAAAGGTACAGACAGGAACCTGAGTGGCCACAAATAGTGACCTGGAGTGGGATGCTTGGTTTTTCTGTATTTGTTTCTTCTTCTTTCTCAAGTGGTTGTTACTATGGGAATATAAAAAATGCCTTCAGAAAAAAGAGGAGGCAGCTAGGTGACTCAGTGGATAGAGTACTGGCCCTGGAGTCAGGAGGACCTGAGTTCAAATGTGGTCTTAGGTACTTACTAGCTGTGTGACCCTGGGCAAGTCACTTAACCCTGATTGCCTCAAAAAAAAAAAAAGATGTATTCAAGCTAGAGATGCCTCATGATATGGTGGAAAGTTCACTGTATTTTGAGTTAGAAAACCTGGTTTCAAGTCCTGACTCTGAAGTTTACTGAAAGGCAACGTGGTACACAGGTTCTGGTTCTGTCTCTGTTCCTTACTTTGAGCAAGTTAACAACCTCTCTGGTGATATAAAATAAGGGAGCTGGACTAGAAGGGGTTCTAAGGCCTTTTCAGAGCCATATTTATGGTCCTAGGATCTTGGAATACTTGAGTGGTCATCTCTTTGCAGCTCAGTTTCCTCATCTCTAAAATGAGGACAATACCTATACAATCCTATCACAGAGAAGCTCTTGGGGTAGCTTTGTAAATTTTAAAACACTGTAGAAGTATGAACTATTATGGAAAGCAGAGATGGAGATTGGATTGGGGACTGGACCTGGTCAGGGTCAGCAAGGCCAGCTTTCTTTCCACTGCTCAACCCTGCCTTTCATCTTGAGAGGATATGGTAGAAATACCTGATGCCACATATGCTACAACAGCTAGAATGTCAGCTCACAGAGGGCAGGGACAGTTTTCCTTTTGACTTTCTGTCTCCCTAGCACATATTGCCAGGCACATAGTGGGTGCTTTAGAAATGCTTGTGGATTGATTTAATACTCTTTTTTTTTTTTAAATCTGAAGGTGTCAAACTCAGGGGGCATCACCTCTAGGCTGGTTAGAACTTGGCCGCAAGGCTTGTGCCAGAAAGGTAGATGGATAATAGAAGGTGTGGGTGTGAGACTCTGTGTGTGTGTGTGTGTGTGTGTGTATGGTCTCCTTTTCCTTCTTGTGGCTATACCTGGCTGAGGCCAGTCACTGGTCCTGTTGGGCGTGGCTCCCATTAAGTCTGGGCTTCAGAGGTGGTGTTCACGATTCTTGTTGCCTTCTGTCATTGATCTAATTCGCTTGTGTTTCCCAGAACATCCCGCTTTGCCTCATTCCCTGAGTACTTGGTAGTACAGATAAAGAAGTTCACTTTTGGTCTTGACTGGGTTCCCAAAAAATTTGGTAGGTATTTTTTTTTTTTTGCATGCTTTTGCTTGAAATGTTGATTTTGAAGCATGGAATGTGAATGAGCCTGAGCAGCTTGGGTGGGGAGTCACGGTGTGCCCAGGCTGGAGGAATTGACTCCATGCCATTCTTAGAATGGTATTTTCCTCCTTCCCTTTTTAAGTAGAGTATATATGTGTGCACGTGTGCATGCATGCATGCATGTGAAATGGATGTTAAACATTTGTCCCAAGTGTTTTACTCTATTACTATTCTGTGGCATGACTGGTCTGAGGAGTGGAAAAAAGGAAGCCCGCATATGAAACAGAAACTACAGTCGCTGGTCTAACTTCTTCTCTACCCTTGAATTTTACCAGAGAGAAATTAGCCTCATTCAGTCCATTGTGTCTCTTAGGCTCACGTGTTTATCTGTGTTTCCATATTGTCCCCTTCTTCCCCTCCTCCCCAGAATTGTAAGGAAGTCCTGGGTTGCAATCCTGGCTCAGGCACTTAATAGCTGTGTAACCCTAGACAAGTTACCTAGCTTCCCTGTGCCTCTGTTTCTTCATCTGTAAACTCAAGGAGTTGGGCTCAATTGCCTGCAAGGTCCCTGCCAGTTGTCCAGCTATGATCCTATTAAATGAATTCTCTGATCTCCTAGGTCATAGGTGGTTTTTGATCTGTATTGGCAGGGAGAATTCCTCTTGCTGATGAAATCCCAGCCCATCCACACAGAGAGTATGTATAGATATCAGTTCCAGGTCTTTCCTTTTCCTTTCCTTCATTTCTGAGGGAAAAAGAACAAGGGTGTTTTAGATGTTTGACCATAGTTTTTTGTTTTTCCTTAGAGTTTCCTTGGAAGTTAGAATTGAGAGCAGTATTTAAGCATTTAGCATCAAAATGTTAGTCTTTATTGCTAGGTAAACAGTAACCCACCTAACTTTGCCCTGGACAACATCATTTTGTGTTCCTCTTGGTAATACTTTATTCTAACCAGATCCCACCAGAACACCATTAAACTCTGCTGTAATGTTTGGCTAGTGGCCATGAGATGCAAATTACTCTAACTATTCCCATGGTTCTTATGACCCCATGTAACATTATTTCACCTCACCTGTTTTTTTTTTCTTCTGTAGCCAATATGCAAGAGTAAGCAAGACACGTTTATATTTATTTCATCAGTCTGTGGTTTTATTGCTATGGTTACTCAACTAATGCAAGTTAGCACCCTTTGGTGCCTCCAGAGGTAGTCTCTGGGAGTTTCTCTGGATGGAAAAAAAACTCATTACCTGCTGTCTAATCTGATGGTTGGGCTGGTCTCCAAATTAGCCGGCCCTTGGTGCACAAGCATCCAGTCTCCTTCGTCTCATTCTTGAAGACTTTCTGGCCTGGTATGCCTTGCCAGAGCCTTTGAGAAACCAGGGTCAGCTTCATGCCACAGTTGGAAGCCTTGAGTGGAGATAGACTCCACCTCTATCTCTAGGGTTCTGTCTTTTGTTTTTGCTTCCTTAAGACATCAGTCTTGCTCTAAAATTTAAAGCCAAGTATTTTTCACACTGTAACTTAATAGATTAAGTAGTGAGAAGTAGTGTGTCATAGTGGGATAAAGGACCAGTTACAGAGTTAGGAAGACCTGGATTTGAGCCCTGCCTCAGACACATGCTAACTGGGTGACTGTGGGCAAGTCCTTTAAATGTTCCAAGTCCCTTTCTAAGGTTATTGGTTATGTGTGGATTAATCGCTGATCTGAATCGGTGAAAGGAGTTTTTGTGCTGAAGAAATCACAGAGCCATCCATAACAACATGGCTCAGTGGAAGGAGTGCTGGGTTTGGAATAAGACAGCCTGAGTTCAAATCTTGTTGCCACTTGCTTTGGCGACAAGATTTGTAACTTTGTAATTGGTGTGACTTTGGGCAAGTCACAGAATCTGAGAGTTGGAAGGGGTCTTAGTGGTGATCTAGTCAAACCTACAAACTGAAGGAATCATGTGTCTTCTCTGGACCTCAGTTTCCTCATCTTTAAAACAAAAGGGTTGGACTAGATGACCTCAAAGGTCCATTCTAGTGCCATTTTTGTTATCCTGTGATCTCTCTCCTTCCCCTTGGAGGAGGGGGGGGAAGTGAAAGAACAAATAGTAGTGGTTTGGAAAACTGATATGTTTGTGTTAGCCACTGCAATAACAACTGATTTGAGAACTTTGAAAACTGGGATTCATATTTGAAAGATTCCACATCTAAAAGACAAAGACATTTGGTGGTGGTGGGGAGGTCATGAGTTTGAATCCTGCCCCAGATGCTGTCTAACTGTGGGATCCTGGGCAAGTCACTTAACTTTTCTGTCCCTCAGGTCCTATTAAATGGTGGTGGTAGGGTCGAGAGAAGACTGACCTCTCTAAGGTCCCTTTTAGCTCTGAATCTACAAACCTATGATCCCATAAGCTGCAACTGGTTAATATGCATGCTGAGTTAAGGGTGCTCACTCCACACTAGGGGTGGATGAAGACTTTGGGGAAATCCCTAAGTGAATGGCATTTCTCATTTTGCAGATGTTTCCATTGACATGCCAGACCTCCTTGATATCAATCATCTCAGAGCCACAGGGTTACAGCCTGGAGAGGAAGAGCTTCCAGACATTGCCCCTCCAATCGTCATTCCTGATGACCCCAAAGGTACTTCCCATGACCAGGAAGGTGTTCTCTTTCCTTAAATCAGATGCCTCTGGTTCTCTGACAACTTGCTGTAGGGTAGGGTCTTGATTTACCCATAGCAGGAAATACAAGAGATGGGTAAGGGAAGAGAAGATGCAGATGTGAGGAGCTGATGAGATGAGCTGGTGGTAATGCTTTGGCCAAAAAAAAAATGGTCTTTTAGTTGGGTGTGGTGGAGTAGGTCTGTAACATTTGGAACTAGGGGAGGCTGAGACTGCAGGATTGCTTCAGCTTGGGGGGTCTGAGCTGCATTTGGGTTAAGCCAATCAGGTGTCATCACTAAGCCCAGTGTTACTATGGCGAGTCCCTGGGAGTGTGTGTGTGTGTGTGCGCGTACGTGTGTGTGTGTGTGTGTGTGTTTGTGTGTGTGTGTATGTATGGGGAGGTACTAACCAGCGCAGGGCAGATTTTTCATGCCAGTCAGCACTGGAATTAGGCCTGTGAGAGGCTGCCACACAACCAGACCAGGTGAGATAGTCTCATGCCAGTCTCAAAAACAAACAACAAACATAAAAAGCCTTCATTTGTATTGGTTACCTTCATTTACAGAAGCACATGAGCTTTTTGAGAAAAGAGGATTTACGATTCATTGTCTTTGTCTTTTTCCCTCCACTTCCATTGATATAGTCTTAGGGCTGTAGTCTAAGGCAGGAACGGGGAACCTGTGTCCTCAAAACCACATGTGGTCTTCTAGGTCCTCAAGTGTGGCCCTTTGACTGAATCCAAATTTCCCAGAACAAATCCCCTCAATAAAAGGAGTTTGGCCTCCAGGCCGCAGGTTCCCCACCCCTGGTCTAAGGAGTGTGCTTTCATTGTATGTGGAGATGTAGAGGAGTTGGTGCCATTTGGGGGGACCCCAAAGAATATGTGACTTGAAATAGGAGGCAATGTGGAACAGTAGGAAGAGTCCTATATTCAGAGTCAGAGGACCTGGGTTCAAATCCCAGCTCTGCCACTTAGTGTGACCTTGGGCAAGTCACTTCACCAGTCTAGGCCTCAGCTTCCTCATCTATTAAATCCATTTGCCATTTTTAACATAAGACTTGGAACCTGTCTTCAGAGAGTTCACAGTCTACCTAAGAAGATAAGGTGAAGGCCCATATAGAATAACCAGCAAACAAGGTGGTATTCTGTGTAGCAGCATTGTGACCTGATCTATTCCAATGGACCTGTGATTTCATTGATGTGGGTGTTACCTTCGGTGATGCAGATTGCAACTCATGCACACATGACTGTTCTTTGGAACTGCCATTCATGCAAGTTTGCCATAAGAGGTCCACCCAGTGTGTTGTGCTCCTTCTTCACATTTTCTTGATATGATGAGGATACCGTTAGAGCCTTGGGAATTGTCCATCAGCTATTCATTCTTGCTCTGTGACTTGCCCATATTATTTTTCGGTCATACATTTCTTTGATGATGCCCTTTACTCTAACTATCAACACAGAAGAAACATCAGGCACTTGGCACAGTGCCTGTTACATGGTAGACACTTGGTAAATGTTCATTGAATTGTTTATGAAATTGAAGAATGATTCTTATACTAACCATGATACGCAGTTGCATGGATAACTTACAGAACTCCGCCATTAGAGAGTATGTGTAAGTGTGCATGTATATGTACATGTGTACATATGTATATGTGTATACATACATACACACACATCAGACATATATACATGCATGTATAATATGTTTTGCACGTACTCTGCAAATAAACAATGATCTGAGCCCAGAATTCAACAGGAGGAGCAAAGTGGGTTGCATTGCCTTTGGAAAGCTTCAAAGAATTTTAAATGACCTCAGGTTTATCTGTAACACAAAAACCCATTTTTTATTTATTTTAAAACAATTTTTAAAATTAATAAGCATTTCTTTTCTCCCCCAACCACCTCCCAGCCTCCCATTAGAAAAAAAGAAAAGAAAAAGAAAACTTTTGTAACAAATATGCATAGTTAAGCAAAATAATTTCCTGCTTTTTGAGTCCACCGCCTCTGTCAGGAGGAGGGGTAGCATTCTCCAACCTCGGTCCTTTGCAATAGCACTCTTTTGGCACACTGATCAGAATTCTTAAATCTCTCAGGATCATTTGCCTTTACTTTGCTTTTGTTGTTGTATAAATTATTTTCCTACTTCTTTGCACAGCATTCTGCATTAGTTCCTACAACTATTGTCCCCCGGGTTTCTCTGAACCATCTTGTTCATCATTTCTTATGACATAATAGTGTTTCACCACATTCATATACCAGAATTTGCTCAGCTGTTGCCCAATTGATGGAACCTCTTTAGTTTCCAGTTCCTTGCCATCACAAAAAAAGAGTTGCTGTAAATATTTTTATATGTATAGGTTATTTTCCTTTTTCTTTGATCTGTTTTTGGTATCAGCCTAGTAGTGGTGTCAGTGGGTTAAAGGACGTACACAGTTCTGTAAATTTTTGGTCATAGTTCCAAATGGCTGTCCAGAATGAATGGACTGATTCAACAGCTCCACCAGCTATGTATGCCTATTTCACTGCAGACCTTATGACATTGGTATTTTTTTTTCCAATCTGATAGGGTTGAAGTAGAACCTCAAAGTTACTTTTATTTTACAGTTTTCTAATTATTAGTGATATGTAGCATTTCAGCATATGGCTGTTAGATTTCTTAAAGGCCTATTTTTCAAACATCAATCTCATGTGATTTTGTGACTGTGAGTGATAGAACATTGAAGTCTGAAGAATTTAAGTTGAAAATCACTAAAAAGGTAAATGAGAGATATATGGCTGTTCATGACTGGGCAATAATGCATTGAAAACAAGGAGCCTAGGCTTTTTCTTTTTAAACATTCTCTATGCAGCAAAGATTTAGTTATATAGTTCTTCGAATGTTATTGACATGTTTAGACTCTCCCTTTCCATCTCCTACAACTCCAAGTGTGAAATGCAAAAAGAAGACAGTTTCGATTTACAAATAAGCACAAAATCAAGACAAATTATGTACATGTGTACATTTGTTGTTGTTGTTCAGTCATTTCCAGTCATGTCTGACTCTTTGTGACCCCACTTGGGATTTTCTTGGCAGAGATACCGGAGTGGTTTGCGATTTCCTTCTCCAGCTCATTTTATAGATGAGGAAAGGGAGGCAAAGAGAGTCGTTACTTGCCCAGGTTCACACAGCTAGGAAGTGTGTGAGGTCAGATTTGAATTCAGGAAGATGAGTTTTCCTGACTCCAGGCTTGGTGCTCTATTCATTTCATTACCTGTTCAAGAAGCTTCACACAATATTTCTGCTGACAATCATGTTTCAATTTGTAATGTAACAATCTAGATCCGAGGCCAGGCCATCTAGTCTGTCTCTCCCAATTCCTTCATTTTAGAGATGAGGAAAATGAGGCCCAAAGAAGGGTGGAGATAAGATTATAGGATCATAGATAAAAAACTGGAAATGAACTTAGAAGCTGTTTAATTCAACATTACAGAGAAGGAAACTGAGGTCCATATAAGAGAAGAGACCTGTTTAAGGCCATATAGGTATTGAGATAGGTTTAGGGATGCTGGGACCCCAAATTAGAACATGTGGGTCCTGCCCAAATGAATTCGACCCAAGTGTTCTTTCAGCCAAAGATAAGGCTTATTAAAGATCTGCCATATTGACCAGATTCTTAAGGAATCAACATTTGTGAGCTATTGGCTAGATTATAAGAATCCGAGCACCTTAATGGAAACAAGATGGACCTTATATACAGAATGACTGTGGGAGTGATCTAGGGAGGATCTTGGTGGGGATGGACAGTAGGCTGTGGTGACTGGAGGAGGGGTCTAGGGAGGATCTTGATTGGAGTGAATGGGGTCTAGATACATAGGGTCCAGGATGGGAAATAGCCAGGGGCCATCAGGAGGTAATAGACAATAGAGGGCTAGGCTCAATTAAGGGTAACAAAGAATTGGGAGATTGAGCATAGGTGATTATGAAAGGCCAGTTGATAGGATTGTAGCCTCAGGTGAACACCAGAGATTTGACCCTGTGAGAAAGTTCAGGACTTTTCCTTTTTGGGGTCCAGATCCCATCCCCATCATAGGCATTAAATGGTGGGTCTAGGATGTGAACTCCAAATCTACTAGCACACTTAAAATATTTTGATTTTAAGAAAGTTAAATTGTTTGGTTCAAGTTAAGTAAAAAGTAGGGCAGGATACAATTGATTCTGATTATATGGCAACTATAATCATCACAGGAATTAGAGAAGGGAGAAATCAATACAGGTTTGGAGATATATAAGGTAATTTAGCTATTTGTGCTTACAGCAGAGACTTTGGTTCATAATTATGCAGAGTACTTAGAAACACTTAAAAGAGAGAAATTGTTGGGTTCATTAGCCCGTTCCTTTTAATACCATGTTTGATCTAGTTTAAGTGTCCTAAACTAATTATTCTCACTCATTACCATAATGCCTTTATGTATTACCATGTATTACCATGAGGATTGTATTGTTGTTTGTATAGAATTGTGGAGAGCTGTGTGGATGCTTTAGGGCTTGGGCATTTCAATAAAGAAAGTTGTGATAGTGACCTATTTTCTTCCATTTATGCATGATGGTATGATTTGGTCTCATTTTCTCCTCTCCTCCCCTCTTAAATTTCAGATCGATTGATGAACCATTATATGGATCGTAAGTATCTCATTATTTTCCCTTCTTAGTGCTAAGATATTTTGGCTATTGAGCCTTATTTCCCTGAATTAGTTGTCAATGGAATGTCTTGGTACTCATGCAAATGGAGCTTTTCTCCTTCGGGAATTTTGCGTTGCTGCCTCAATTGTATGTTGGGGGAGTTGCAAATTGCCAGTCAGCTGTGTCTTAGTAGTAAGCTCCTTGAGGGCAAAATTATTTCATATTTTGTCTTTGTATCCCTCTGTCCAGCTCAGGGCCTGGCACACAGCAGGTGCTTAATAATGCTTGTTGAATTGAATTGAATTGAACACCTAACAGAGCTTTGAATAATATAGCAACTATTCTAGTTTCACCTTTCACAAGACCCCTGGCTCTATTATCTCATCAATATGGTTACTCACCCCGGGGTATGCTGGAGCCAGCTCACACTGGCTTCTGAGGATCGATTTCCATGAACATTTACACTTCAGAAATCAGCAAATGTTACAAATCCAGGGCTTGATTTATTGTCTAGCAGACTTAAGAAAGTACTGGAAAAAATGCAGATTGAAGGTAAAAGGATATCCCATGCACATATTTTTGAAAGCTAATTGTTGAACATTTACCAGCACACCCCTGGTTACTCCTTCCTGAGGTATAGATTACAACCTGTCTATGCCTGCCTATAAGCATTTATTAAATGTCTACTATGGGCCAGGTACTGCTAAACCCTGGAGATACAAAGAAAGACCAAAAATAGTCCCTGTTCTCAAGAAGTTTATATTTGAATATTCATCCTGTGTATCTCATCTATGGTTTACCCATAAATTCTCTACATGGGGCCCACCTATCATTTTCTATGCAACAACAAAATTTTTAAAAATCCATGAAGATTCATTAAACATTGACTTTATATAGAGAGCAATGTGCAGATTGAGATACAGAGTTTAGATGACATGCAGGCCCTGCCCTCATCGTGTTTGTAGTTTAATATTGGCGTTCAGAGTCTAGTACTTGATAGAATTGCTACTTTTCTATCCATGGGACAGCAGAACTTTTTGGGGTTAAATCTAATTACTGTTGAACAAGGCATATCTCCAATTACAAAATCCATTCTTTGTTGAGGGAAAAGTCCATATTCCATAGGTCTAAGAAAGAGAGTTTCTGCTGAGTCAGTCTCTTTGGCACAACAAAAATTCTGGGTCCTTCTCCTCCCAACTTGTTATAACTTATTTCCACATTTTCCCTCCTCTCCCCCTAGTCATTTTAACTGCTATGCATTTGCTATTTCTCTGCCCCCGGCATGACACCTGCAAAATTGTGGAAGTCATACTGGTTGCCTACTTATGTAAAATGTTGTGTGATTTCTAAATGAAAGGTTTCTACCAATTCTAAATCCCTTTCTTCCCTTAACCTTCATGAGCAGGCCAATTTCCTCTAATGGTCTGCACATAAGTAGGTTAAACAGTCCTGGAGTTCCTGGCCATGGAAGGCCTCATGTGTTCTCTGAGCAGCTCAACTCACCAGTAAGAGGAAACTTAGATTCTGGAATTTGACGCCTGATTTATTAAGGATTGGGATAGGGGCTGAGCTTGTGAGTTCATTGGGGTATAGTTTTCCCTGTAAGGAACTAAAACCAATAGGGGTCTATACTTTCTCTACTTCAGGGCTTAGAGTTTCCTAGAGGTTGAGTGCCCAGGTTACATAGCCAGTAGGTATCAGAGGTGGCACTTGAACCCAAAACTTGTTGGCTTCAAGATGAGCTCTCTCTCCACAAAGCCCTGCAACGTCTATATTTTTGCCTGATTCATTAATATTTTGAAATATATCGATTCCATTTTTAATGTTTGTTAATCTATTCCGCTTTTTTGATCCCTTCCTTATATGAGCTAATACTCTTGAGTATTCTAAAAAAGAGATGCTTTAATTAGTCAAAGCATTTATGGTTAATTAGGAAGAGGAGCTGTTATTCACACAGTATTAAAGACTGTTTTTTCCTCCTCCTACAAAGCCACCCTGTGGTGTATAATTGTATGAACTATTTTCATTACTGATTTAAAGGTCTGGGTGTTTACCACTGCCATCAGTTGAACATGTGAACTACATAAAAAATTGGCTACGCAGGACCAAATCATTGTGCTGTTTATTTCAGCTCCTTTCTTCTCTTCCCCCTCCTTGGCTTGAGATTTTAGAATTTAAAATGCTCAGAGAAACATCATACCTAGAAGTTTTTGTTGTTGTTCAGTTGCGTCTGACTCTTTGTGACCCTGTGGACCACAGCATGCTACTGCTACACATGGGATTTTCTTGGCCAAGATGCTGGAGTGGTTTGCCATTTCCTTCTCCAGTAGATTAAGGCAAACAGAGGTTAAGTGACTTGCCCAGGATCACACAGCTAGTAAGTGTCTGAGGTTGGGTTTGAACTCGGGTCTTCCTGACTCTAGGCCTAGCACTCTATCCACTGAGCCACCTAGCTGCCCAGACTGGGAGTATTTTGATCTTATATTTTGCCTGAAACACAGTGTGACATAATGAATAATACGTCCATCTTCAAGTCAGGATGACCTAAGTCTAAGTCATACTTTTGACATTCATTGCGTGACCATGGGCAAATCTTACTCAACCTTTCTCAGCCTCAGTTTCCTCATCTCTAAAATGAACAGAATGGAATAGAAGGCTTTTTGAGGTCTCTTCCGGTTTTAAAACTATGAGAATTAACCTTCACCTTCTTTATCAAAATGGAAGAAGCTTTATGGACATTTTCTGACAGGACCAGTGATTTCATCACTATCAATGCAGACAGGTGCCTTCCCTGCATATCTTAGCATCAGAGAGCTACCTTAAACGCTGAGAGGTTAAGTGATTTGTCCAGGGTCACATAGTCTAGTCCCCATCAGGGACAGCACTCAAACTCAGACTTTCATAAGTCCATCTCTTTATCTACTAACCACACTGTCATGATGAAGATCAAAAACTTCATTTTTAAACAGACACCACCAATAGCCCCATTTTATAGACAAGGGAGCAAAGACTTTTAATGTTTCCTTGTTTGGAAGAGATTATTACTTTTTGCTCAAGAGGGCGCCCTTGCAGTGGATAGAATGCAAGTCTTGGAGTCAAGAAGACAGCCCAAGTCTGCATCTGGCCTCACATACTTATTAGCTATGTGTGTCCCTGGGCAAGTCATGTAACATCTTGGAGCCTCAGTTTCTTTAGCTGTAAGTATATAAGGAGAGCACCTATCTCATATGGTTGTTGTAAGGGATCTAATGAGTTTAAAATATAAACTCCCTAAGATTAGGGGTTATTTCGTTTTTTTTTGTATTTGTATTACTATTGCCTCATATGATGCCTGGAATATAATAAGTGCCTAATAAATTCATGTTGATTGACTAATGTAAAGTGCTCCATAAATATGAGCAATTTTTGTTGTTATTTGAAGAATTTCCACAATTCTCCATTTCATGCTAGATGTATAGGTGATGCCTAAATAGTTATGGTGAATGGGCAGATTTTAAAAATTTTCTTTGGGTGGTATGTGGTTAGGGAGTAGAAGGTGATGAGGTGAAGAAGAGATGCAAAGGGGAGTGAGAAATGGGAAAAATTCACTCTTCAGGCTGGAATAGTATGTTTTGTTTTGCAGCACCAGACATTGATGAGTCCTCTGTGATGCAGCTGGCAGAGATGGGTTTCCCTCTGGAGGCATGTCGGAAAGCTGTGTACTATACTGGAAACATGGGACCCGAGGTGGCCTTCAACTGGATCATTGGCCATATGGAAGAGCCTGGTAGGTAATTTTTAAAATCATGAATAATAACACTGAAGCCCATTATTGGGAAGTCCATTGTGAATATAAAGCCATTTTCTCAAAGCCAAAGTGGTTTTCCTGTGGCTTATACCACTTCTTTTCCCTAGATTTGGTTAAGGTTTATCCAAAAATATCCTGACAGTTTGATACAGGTGAGCTTAGCCTAGGTAGTCAAAAAGAACAATATGTTCTTTGTTTTACCTTTGATTCCTAATCTACTCCAAAGGAGAAGGCTTGAATATGCTCTTCTACCTTAGATTTCGCTGAACCGCTATCCCTACCTGGTTTTGGAGGAAGTGCTACTATGGGGGCCATGGCTTTTGGTGCTATTGGATTGGATAACCAACCTCCAGAAGAAATTGTAGCCATCATCACCTCCATGGGCTTCCAGAGGAATCAGGCCATTCAGGCATTAAAGGCCACGGTGAGTAGATGCACAGTTCTCTTCCTTTAGGATGACTTGTTGGTATTTCAGCAGCATTTGAGAGTTTTAAGGAACCCGAGAGTAATATTCAATAATTCCTACCTTCCTGTTGGAACTCCTTTACTCCTTTTCTGTAGTCTTCAGTTTAGAAATTCCAGAAGGAAATCTAATGCTCATGAACCTATCAGTGTTATAAATGTGGAGAATGGAGCCAGAGCGATGAAAGGAATCCAAATCCTCTCCTAGTTAGTTGGCATTTATTAGGCATCTTTTATCTGCAAAGCACTATACTTGACACTGAGGATACAAAGACAAAATAACAAAATCTCTGTCTTCAAGGAGCTTCCATTTGACTTCCTCTTGTGTGATACTGGAGAGAGTGATTGCTCATTTCTGAGATTTTCTGGAAACAGCTCAATTTAAGTAAATATTGAATTTGGAACATCTAACATTTTAGATTCATTTCCCACTAAACAAATACTTATTAATCTCCTGATTCTTAAGGGAATAGAATAAAAATCCTCTTTTATATCATCTCCCAGTAGCTTCATCTTTTTTTTTTTTGGGTGAGGCAGTCGGGGTTAAGTGACTTGGCCAAGGTCACACAAGTAGTAAGTGTCAAGTGTCTGAGGCTGGATTTGAACTCAGGTCCTCCTGACTCCAAAGCTGGAGCTTTATCCACCGCACCACCTAGCTGCATCCCTAGTAGCTTCATCTTAAGAAACTATGTCAGAAGAATTTTATCGTGTTCATTTTAGGTTCTGGTCTTTAGTCCTTGTGACAACTGAGTGTGAAGGAGATCTGCCTAAGGAACCAGGACTTACTTTTGCATTCCCAGGAATTTCACATTCCTATCTTAAAGCATTTTAAGGGATGTTCCATGAAGGAGGGCACAGACTGGATTAAGTGCATAGGAGAACTTGGAGTGGCCCTGTGAGATTCCTAGCCAGGAGCAATGGGTGGAATGTCATCAAAAGGCAAATTTGAGCTTTGTGAGCAGGAAAAACTTTCTAACAATTGGAAGTGTCCAACAGCAGTATGGGCTGCCTCAGGACTTAGACCTCCACTTGCTGCAGGTCTTCATGTAGAGGTCGGATGACCACTTGTTGAGTTTGTTAGAGTAGGGATTCCTTTTTAGGTATGGATTTGACCATGAGACTGCCGAGGTCCTCTTTAGCTCTGAAGTTCTATGATGCTTAGTAACTCTGTGCCACACACACATTCCACTTTTTGGTATATATCTTCTATCTCTAAACTGTGATCCTGTGATCCTCGGCTTGTCCAATTGGCTGCCCAGCTCTGCTGCTAAGTTCAGGGTGGATCTTAGTAGTTGAAGTTCACTATTTCCTTCCTTAGTAGTAGTAGGAGGAGGAGAAAGAGGAGAAGGAGAAGGATATATCAGTAGTCATTGTAGTAGTAGTTGCAGTAGTGGTAGTACTAGTTGTTGTAATAGTAATACTAGTTGTTACAGTAGTAGTTAGTTGTAATTGTAGTAATAGTTGTAATAGTAGTTGTTGTAGTGGTAGTACTAGTTGTGGTAGTAGTACTACTACTACTCCTAATAGTGGTTGTAGTAGTAGTTGTACTGGTAGTACTAGTAATTGTGGTTGTAGGAGTAGTAGTAGTAGTTATAGTAATAGTAGTTAATTGCAGTAGTGGTAGTTATAATAATAAAAAATAGCAATGCATATTTATATAACACTTTAAGATTCTTGAGATTCTTTGCTTACAATAGTCCTATGAGGTAGGTAGGACAGGCAACTATTATCTTTATTTTCACATGAGGAAACTGAGGAAGAACAGTGACTTACCTATAACCACATGGTCATGTGTTAGAATAAGTATTAAAAGCAAGTGTTTAACCTAGGTTTCCTGACTCAGAGGCAGATTTGGGTTTTTTTTTCCTGACCTGACTTTCTCCTCTACTTGACCTTCCCAGAGCTGACCATGTATCTCCCCAGCAACCCCCCATCTCCCCCATTGTACTCTATCTACAGAGTTAGGTGTCTTAATGAACCTAGAGTCAGAAAGACTTGAGTTCAAATTCAGTCTCTGATACTTACTATCTGTATGACCTTGGGCAAGTCACTTTACCTCTCTTTGTTTCGGCTTCCTCAACTGTAAAATGGAGATAATAACAGCATTTACCTCCTAGCATTTTTGTGAAGATCAGATAAGATAATATTTGAAAAACACTTAGCATAGTGCCTGGCACTTAGCAGGTGCTCTGTAAGTGTTAGCTCTTGTTATCATTACTGTTATTATCCCTGGATTCAAGAAGACCTGAGCTTCAATCCCACCTCAGACACTGAATAACTGTGATCCTGGGCAAGTCACTTAACCACTGTCTGCCTCAGTTTCCTCAACTATAAAATAGGGATAACAACACCAGCTATTTCCCAGGGTTGTGATGAGGATAAAATGAGAGAATAATTGCACATTGTTGGCACTTAATATGGTGCTTGTTTACTTCTCTCCCTCCCTCCTGTGGATCCCTTTATATCTAGGAACAAATATGAACTCATCTGTTTGGCATTTAGAGCTCTTCATGGTTAGGAATCAAATCTACCTTATTAGCCCTATTACGCAGCATTTGCCATCATGCACTGTACATTCTTGTTAAACAGACCTTGTTCTTTTGTATTTATGACCCTTCATGTCCTGCATCTGTGCCTTTTCACGGTCTCCCATGCCTGAAATTATCTCCCTCCTCACTTATATCTCTTAAAGTTCTTTCAAGACTCAGCTGAAGTGTCCCTTCTACATGAATCCTTTTCTGATCCTTCCCAGTTGTTTGTGGCCTCTCCTCTCTTCTTCTTACCCTCCTCAATCACCTTGTATTTCTTTTGTGTGTATCTAGAGATGTGTATGTTGTTACCCCTGATAGAATGTAAGCTCCTTGAAGGCAAGGATTATTTAATTTTTGTCTTTATATGTCCAGTTCCTGCCACATAGTAGGTATTTAATAAATGTTTTGCTGGTTGCTTTCTTGGTCCCCATTAAAACTTTTGATTGTGGAATTTCCTGGGTGATGATAAATGTATGGTATGGGAGATTGAAAGGAGGTGAAGTCATCACTTCAGTAAGAAGCAATCTGCTTAGTTACCCTAGGGTGAATGATGAATGATGGAAGCAGAGATACCTGTCTCTAGCAACCCTCCCTTCCTTTTAGCACTTAGAGGAGGCTCTTAAAATGCATAGATGGGACTTACCATCTGTTTCAGTTCAGAGCTTCATGGGGATTTTCAAGGTGTATTGCATATGATTATTGGTCTCATTTTACAAAGGGATGCATTTAGGTTAATACTGCTGCTCTATAGGGCATTCAGTCATCCGTCGTCAGTATTAGCATATACAGTGATGAACCAAGAACGATGTGGTCATTGCAATGCTGACAGGGTGCTGGGACTCATTTAGCAGGGAATTTAATTATAGCTCTTGCTCAGGAGACTCACACAGTGCCTCTTGAACATGTGTTTCATCCATAGAATCCAAGTTGTTGCTGGAAAGCACTTAATGCTGATGAGTCTGACCCTTTCACCCTCTCTGTTGGTCATCTTGTCTTTAAAGGTCATGCCTGAAGGTTCAAAGGAGTGGCAGACATTATAGCAATATTTCTGTATCTTTCAATAGAACCACAATTTGGAGCGGGCCCTGGATTGGATCTTCAGCCACCCTGAACTGGAAGAGGATAACGAGTTCATTGCCCACATGATGGAGATGGAGAATAATGCCAATGCTAACATTATTTCAGAGTCCAAGCCAGATGGTCCTAGAGTGAGAGATGGATCAGGAAGTAAGTTGTCTTCTCAGACTTGACAAAAACTGGAAGAGGATAACTAGCATATTGGATGACAGAGTCAAGACCCTGAAAGATCTAGACAGCCTGGAACATCAGACTGATTCTAATAAGATGACATTTAAAGGGATAAATGTAAAGTTTTACACTTGGGCTCAAGAAATCAGCTTCCTAAGTATGAGATTTGAGAGGCATGGTTAGAACTCAATGTTTTCTGAAGAAGATCTGAGGTATTTAGTGGACTGCAAGCTTAACAGGAAGCAGATGTATGAAAGGATAACCAAAAAAGCTAATGTGACCCTGGACATTAGGAAGGACATTCCTAAACTGGAAGGGTCTCAGAGAAGGCCCTTCCCTTCTTCCTTCTTTTCTTCCTTCCTTTTCTTTTCTTCCTCCCTCCCTTTCTTCCTTTTTCTTTCCTTTTCTTTTCTTCCTCCCTCCCTTTCTTCCTTTTTCCTTCCTTTTTCTTCTTCCTTCCTTCCCTTCCCTCTCTCCCTTCATCCTTCCCTTCCTCGCTCTCCCTTCTTCCCTCTTTCCCTACCCCCTCCCTTCTTCCCTTCCTTCTTTTCTTTCTTCCTTTCCTCTCCCTCCCTCCCTTCCTCCTTTCCTCCCTCCGTCCCTTCTGTCTTCCTCCTTTCTTTCCTTTTTTACCTTCCTTCCATCCTTCCTTCTTTTCTTCCCTCCTTCTTTTCCCCCTTCCTCCTCCTTTTTTCATTCCCTCCTTTCTCCCTCCCTATTTCCATCTCTCCTTCCCTTCCTCCCTCCTTCCCATTAGGTTAGGGTGGGACCTGAAACTACCTTCAAATAACTTAGAAGCTGTCTTGTGGAAGAGGCATTAGGCTTGTTCTGCTTGTCTCCAGAAGGTAAAACCAGGAGCAAACAGGTGATGTTGCAAAGAAGCAAACTGAGTCTTGTCGGGAATAGCTTCCTTAACTTCAGCTCCTCTCCAATGGAACAGGTCTGCCTCAGGAAGAACTCCCTGACTACACTGGCTTTGGGACCATGGACAGTTCACTTACCTTTTCCATGCCCTAAACATCTTTTTAATGTATGATGTATAATGTATGGGGTTACATTTTCTGTTTTGACACGTAGATAAATATATATGTTGATATCAGTATACACAGAATGATCATATGCATAATGTAAATGGAAAGCAATGGAATCCAAGGTAGTTACATATAGTTAGGGAGGGACAACGCTAGCAATTGGGGGAGAATCAGGAAAGGCTTTGTATAGAAAGTGATGTTTTTGAGCTGTGACTTGAAAGAAGTGAGAGATTCTTTGAGGCTGAGTTGAGGACGAAGTGTATTCCATTGGAAAATGTGGAGATGGGAATTGGAGTGTCATGTGTGAGAAACAGAGGAAAAAACCAGTTTGGCAGGATCATCGATTGGAGGAAGGGGAATGACACATATGGAGAATGCAAAGATAGGCTGTGGCTCATTAGCTTTAAAAATCAAATAGGAGTTTACTTTGATCCTAGAAGCAATTGGGAGCCACTAGGGATTATCAGGTAGGGGATTGACATAGTTATATCTCTTTGTCAACTGTGTAGAGGATGGACTGGAATGGGCAGAGACTTGAAGGTGGAAGACCAATTACAAGGCCATTGAAATATGTAAATAAGAGATGATGAGGGCCTAAATTTAATTGCTAGCCATGTGAGTAAGGAGAAGAGTTTATCTATGTGAGAGACGTTGTAGACATAGAAATGACAAGGTTTTACACCTGAGTGTGTATAGGTGTGATGAAGGGGAGGGAAGAGCTGAAGATAATGCTGAGATTATAAACTCCAGAAGATTGGAAGGATAATGGTACCTTGGGATGTAGGAATCTTACTTGAGTCAATGTGAATTTTTGATGCAGAGCTAGAAGAAGCCAGGAAATTTGTCTTAAAAAAGATTTTCATCAATATCTATTTTAACATTGCCTGAAGTTTCTTTTGTGTGACTCCCCCTCCCCCTCCCAGAGAGCCATTCTATATAACAAAGAGGAAATCTCTGTCTTCATATGAAATGTGCCTTTTTTCTCTGATTGACATAGTTTTCATTCAGTAGTTAGTCAGGGCTGGAACATATTCCTACTGAATTTTATATTCATGTCAGGGCTTTCGTGTCACTCACTGCAAATCATTGGTCCTGCTGCCCTGCTGAAAACCTTAATGGTCAAAGACTTTCCTAATCCATTTTGCTGGATTTATTACATATACTATGGCCCATCAGCCATTGCTTAATCAATTTTTCTCTAATGGACTTCCCTTTAGAGATTGGGCCTTCTTGAACAGGGACTTAAACTCTTCAGACCACAAGATGGAGCTGGTGTAAAGCAGACAGAAGACTGGAGGCAGGTAGAAAGTTCTTATAAGTGTACCCAGCAGGCTGCTAAAGTGTTTTATTTCTTCTGAGGATGGCAGATGGCACCAACAAGTCTCCTTCAGGTTTTTAATAGTTGACTGAGGTCAAATCCCACCTTCTGTAGAGGTCTTACCTAGTTCTCCCTACTGCCAGTGTCTTTCCTCTGAGATCACTTTCCACTTAGACTATATATAACTTGTATACACATAGTTATTTCCATGTTGTCTTTGTATGTTCTTTGGTGGAAGGGACTGTGTTTTTTGCCTTTCTTTGTGTCCCCAGTGCTTAGCACAGTGCGTGGCATACAGTAAGCACTTAATGAATGCTTATTGATGGCAGTGATTACACCTATACCCTTTCTTTGTGACTTATTAGACTCATAGCTGACTGTAGATGGAAAGTGCTGTGGTGAAAAAAAAGCAATAGATTTAGATTCAGAAGGATCTGGGTTCAGGATCTGGTGATATCACTTCCTAGCTGAGTGATTCCAGGCAAGGCACTTAGCCTCAGCTTTACTTATCTATAAAATGGAATAATAATACTTGCTTTGTCCATAGTTATTATAAAGACCAAACAAAATAATGTACATAAAGAGCTTTGTAGCATTAAAATGTTGTAGGTGTCCTACTGTGTGCCTCATGTGCTCTACTGAATTAAAAATTGAGCACTTCAAAAAGTTTCACTAATCTTTTGAATCCCCATGGTCTTTATGTTGGAAGGCATTCTGGGTCAAATCTCATGAAAATGAATACTGCAGGATATCCACAGCTTTCCATTTCCATTCCATTGCAGAGCATTTAATAAGTGGGTAGGATGTGCCAAGCACTGTACTAAAGACATACAAAACAAAAGCAAAGACAATTGTTGCCCTTGACCTTGTATTCTAATAGGAAGAGAATGGGGGACCAGTGACTAGATAAGAGAATTTTGGTCCAGAACATTATAGGGATGTCATCTGGAGTGGAGTCATTAGGGGATTAGATTAACATACCCTTTCCAGAAGCAGTGGCGGAGACAATTCCGTGTGTGTGTGTTTGTGTGTGTGTGTGTCTGTGTGTCTGTGTGTCTGTGTGTCTGTGTAGGGAGGATTCAACTGGTGAGAAGTTGGCCAGGGATTAAGGAATGAAGCAAAGCATAGCTTGGTATTGCCTGAAAGAGTGGTTTGGTGAAAGCAATCACTAATCAGAATAATGAGAGCATTCTAGGAAGACTCAAAGAAAACACCAAGGTTACAAACCTTGGAGGCTGATAGACTGTGATCTATTGTGGTTAGAGCCCTTTCAGCACCATGGCCAGCATTCAGAGTGGGGCTTGGTGGGGTGTGATTTGGTCCTGTGTATTAGTTAACCTCCTGCTCTTGCTGTATGACTGGTCCATATTTTTTTAACGGTTGTGCATTTGATCATATACTTTACACTACTTGTCCTAGGTAATTAATTACTCATTGGTAATATGCTGCACCTTACTAAGTACATCCATTGCCTTTTGGGTGACTAATAGCTTTAATTCCTCAGAGATTGTATTCTTCTGTGACTTGTAGAATAGCATTGTTGGAGGAATGTAGTCTACTATTTTTACACATTATTTATTACATAATATTTATATGTAACATTCATTATATATTTATTTTATTACATAACCAAGTTATCAGTATCTTTTATGTTTACATTATTTATATTTCCCAACATACCCCTCTCTAATATTCCTCTCAGATTCATCTTTTAAAACAAAGAATAAAAAAGAGTTTAGCAAAACTAATCAAGACATCAACTAAACCAAATGCTGTGAATTCATTAGATTGTGAGCTCCTTAATGGCAGAGACTGTCTTTTGCCTTTCTTTTTATCGCCAGTGCTGAGCACAGTGCTTGGCACACGAGTCACTCTCTGCTGAGCAGAAATGTTGGGAGGTGGGTGATGGGACACAGTTACTGGGTATATTTAAGAGGAGGAAGAGGTGTACCAGGCCTATATGTTTAATTAGGTTAGTGCATTTTGATGTCCTTTATCAGCTGAATTTATTTTGTAAGAGTAAGATCCAGGTGAAGCTCTGGGATGGGTACCAGCACATCATTTGGGCTTCCCTAAGAAGAAGATTCTTTGACATGTGTGTGCCTTTATGTCTCTTCACCAATGAAATGACTAGAAGAGAAATAGCTGGATGAGAGATTATGTATTTGTGTGTCATTCCCTCAGGTATGTAGGGTTTTATGACTGGCACTTGGTAGTGTTCTTGCAAGGAGGTGGGAAAGGTCAATAAAGGTAGAGAAACACCATCACTTCATACCAAGACTGTGTCTGGGAGCCTAGGAATAGCACTTCTACTGGCATACTGTAGAATCTAGCCCTCTTGTTGCCACAGTGGTAGTGTAATGCCCATAAGCTGAAAAGATCCTCTGAGTTGAACTAGCAGTTATTCTTAACTGCCCACTGGCCATGGTGCTGAAGCATCTCTGATCCCCAAAGTGCTAATAGAAGTCTCATAGAAGTGACCTCAAATGCCATACTTATTCAATATTGAATTATATATTTTTATCCTGCCTAGTATAAAGATATCTAATACTTGTGTAAATTTATTGGGCAGAGAATATAATTATTCACATAAAATTTTATTAAATTTTACTTATTTAAGAGATTCCTAGGAGAGGGGCAGCACAGACTGGGAAAGGAAGGACCTTGGGACTTGGAGGGCACAGCCAGGAGCTGAGAAAGCCTCAGGACATGAGCTGTACAAGGTGAGATGAGGCTCTTTGAAGCTCAGAGTCAGGGGGATAGGGTCCAGTACATTGCAACATACCAGAGAGAAGATTTATGAGGCAACACAATCCTTATACTGCCTGTTGTGAGTGCCATAATTATTAATCTGATTTTAATTATGTAATTGGCAGGACCGTGCAAGGTAAGTCAATAGAATGGCTACAAGTCAAGGACTGCCTGAATTCCAAACAGTAGGAGACAGAGAAACTCATTCATCACTTCTAGTTTCTTTCATCAGGATCTGGCATTTCTTTAGATGGATGGTTTCTGAGTTACTGTGATTTTTTTTTCTTATGAGGGGTAGTTATAACTTTTTTTTTTTTTTTTGCTGGGGAGGATAAGTGTTGGTAAAGGATAATTGCTGCTTGCCAGCAGAACAAAGAATTGAGAAAAGCTTAGCTAGGGCTTAGCTTTATAGACTGCTCTTCATGGAATATGAGTGAAGAGTACTCTGAAAAGAGCATGAACTCTGGTACTTTAATTAGAGAACTTCTTATAGACAGCAAGGAAAGATGGCATTTATTTTTATGAAATTCTTCATTGGAGGGAATTCTTAGTACTGGATCAAAAATATTGTCGGTATGGACTATCTGCACGATCACAGGAAAGGTCTGCTTGTGAGGACCCCTTTCTGTGATGACATTTATTATGGCGGGATTTTGTGTGTGCCCCTTGAGCAAATGCCTGCCACTTATGGCTGGAGAACATTTTTGGCTTTCAGAGATGATGATTTCCTGTTTCTTGCTGGAGAGTAGAGGGGAAGGTAGCAGAGAAAGGTCCTACAGGAGGGCCCCATGCACTGCCACTTTATACTCCTTTCAGGGGCAGGTTTTAAGTTTCTTATAAGCAACAAGAAAAGGGGGCAAGGGTTTGAGGCATTCAAATCTGGCCTTTCAGGGCTTCTGCCATTTGCAAAATGTGTTTCTCTGTTGCACTTAATGTAAGCTTTTTTTTTTTTTTAAGAAGGCACTTGATTACTAATGCAGTTAAAATGTGATTAAGTTGTGATTAGTCAGAACCCCTTCCATGTTATTGTAGTCACATCTGTGCATTGGTTGTAGACCTTCTTTGTTAAAAAGGGAGCTTTCCAGTAAGGGAGGTGAATGCAGAGTTCCTTTGCATAATGTAGGAACCTATTTTCAACAGATACTAGAGATGCAGCTTGCAGGGAGATTGATGGTGGTGGGGGAGGTTAGTTCTGTAATGAGGCCAGACCCTGATTTCTATTTGCAGAAAAAGTGGGGGGGGGGGGGAAGACCTGACCATCCAATTATTATATTACTAGCTTGATTCCTCCTGGTCTCTTGTGTGGGAGAAGGACATTTAAAATTCAAAACTGGGGATATGATATTTTTCAGTGGTTTGAATTAGTTTTACCAGGTCCATCCCATGAATTTATGATTGATCTTTCAATGCTGAGAAGAAGAAAAAGATGCACTGATGGCTTTGTGATCTCTCATTGTGGGTAGTCACTCCAGTGGCATAGATTACAATCTATCTATGTCTCTCATCCCATTCAATTCTTGTCCATGGCCTCCCACAAATCACCTACAAGGGGTCCTTGAATGCTGTGGCCCTTTCTCCAAATGTTTTCTCCCTATAAGGATATCAGTGGTGCACACAGCAGGCACTTAATAAATGCTTATTGACTGATTATTTCATACTCACAGTACCCCATCTCACCAAAGAAAGAAGGGAGGTTCCCTTTCATATCTCTTCTTTGGGGTCAAACTTGTTCATTATAATTCCATAGCATCAAGTTTGATTTTTGTTGTTGGTCTTTCTATTTACATTGCTGTATATATTGATAATCTGGTTTCACTTACTTCACTTTGTATCAGTTCATATAAGTCTTCTCATGCTTCTCTGTAGTTGTCATTTTCATCATATTTTTTGCAGATCTTCTTACATTTTAAAAACATTTAACTGTTTCTGGTATTCTTAAGTTTTAAGTGGATATTCAATCATTTTTAATATTGGTGAAGAGGATTGTCTGAGCTCAGAGCCCAAGGTGGTAGTCTTGAGTTTCTGTACTCTAGACTTTCTGCATATGACCATAAAACAGTAATACCCTGGACAGGTCTTGAAAACATGGGCCCCCATTCTCTTAAAAACAAGTTGAAATAGTGAAGCACTTAATGGAAAGGTATCCCTGAGAATCTAGACTAAGCTTCTAGGAGACCTGATGTCCAAAGGGAGAGTGGTGGAGTGGATGGTCTTGGAGTCAGAAAGACCTGGATTCAAATTCAGCCTCTGAAACATTCTGGTTGTATGACCCTGGGCAAATCACTTATCTTCTTAGCACCCCAGGCAACTTTTTAAGGCTATAAGTTGTAGAAAAGTGGTAGATCTGCATAAGTGTAGGGGGAAATCACTGGGAGTTCCCTTCACCAGTGAAATTATAGGGCCAAAAACTCACATTAAGGTGTGACTAATTGATAGCTCCTTAAAGGCCTCTGGAGTATTCCACATTTTTAAAGAAAGATCCTTGTTAACCCAAGCAAATCTATCTTTGGTGGAATTTAAAAAAAAATGAAGCACAAAGCAAAGTGAAAAATAACTCAATGTGAAGGAAGATGCTTTTGGACAATGGCCAACATATAGCAGCAGAACTGTTCTTCCTGACAGTCTGTTCTACCATTCCTGTTTTTTGATGGCTTCCTCCACTTATAAGTCCAAATCTCTAAAATTCTGTTTTTCCATCAGAGCTTATGATATGTGTGTGTGTGTGTGTGAGAGAGAGAGAGAGACAGAGAGAGAGAGACAGAGAGAGAGAGAGTGTGTGTATTATGCCATGGGCCAGTAGAGCTGGCATGGCCATTTGTGAGCAGGATCACTTGTAAGCCAGGGGCTTAGAAGTTGGGGCTTTCTTATTTTGTTTTTATGCCCGCTACAGGGTGTCCCAAAAGACTAAGTGTAGTTTTGAGCTTTAGTGGTTATTTTAAAATCTAAGACTATTTCTAGAACTATTTTAAAGCTTTAATAGCTCAAAACTGCACTAAGGTTTTTGGAACCCTGTACAAGTAGGAAAGATTAACAGAGTAGAGATATCTCTTTTAAGTGAGGAATAGCCCTGTCAAAAGAAATCAATCATAGTTTATGCCCTTGACTTTGTTTTTCAATCTGGACCTGTGATTTTATTGGTGTAGTGAATTCCCAGTGTGAAAACTCCCTTTAACAGTGCAGATCAGTAACTATTCTGTACCTTATGGTCTTAGCGAGTTATGAGGGACACTAAGAGATAAGTTGACTTGCCCAGGATCACATGGCCAGTATGTGTCATATGTGAGACTTGAAACAGGTCTTCTTGACTCAGTCCCTCTTTCTGTCCACTGTGCTTTGCATCTCTGGCTTTAAATATAAATAAATATCTAGATGGGGGAAGGAAAACAGGGTGCCCTCAGCCATATGTGTTATGTGTGGTGTATGTGTGTGTGTGTATGTGTGTGTGTGTGTGTGTGTGTGTGTGTGTGTGTGTGTGGTGATATAGTTTCCTTGATTGATCTGTTTTGATTTTTTTTTGGGGGGCACAGAGATACATTAAGATCTCTGGCGCCTATGGAAGTCTTGGAAATCAGCTGAGCTACTGTTTCCTTCTTGGGGCTGTCTTCTAGCAGGGGGTCTTGAATAATGCATTTGATGGTTGCTGGTATTGATAAACATTGTTAATTTTAATTATACGACTTAGATTTATGCCAAGGAAACATTTTCCTTTTAATTAGTTTGCTTTTATGATTGTCTGAGTGTGCCTGAGGTTTTGAACCAAAAGGAGAGAAAATGCATCTTGGGCTCACTATATCATGCTTTTAATGTGCAGTATTGGGTCTTTTAAGGCTTGACTGGCCTCGGGGTTTGTCTGCCTGGCATCTTAGGTGATTTTTGACTGATATAACCAGCCACAATTCAGGTGCTTTGCCATATCAGTGCTGACCCTTCACCATGTGCTATTTGTCAGCTCAAATGCAACTTTCTGAAGGAGGGCTTTGTTGGTTGCTGTAGCTATCACTGCCTCGTCACCTAAGACTGCCTTGTGTCTGTTTTGTCTGAATATTGTATATACCTACCATATGTAAATCCCTACACTAGGCACTCTGGGGGATATAGAAGTATAGTCCAAGACTAAATGGAATCTAATAAAGTAGCTAGACATATATATGTTACTTTGTTAGAGTGTAAGTTCCCTGAAGGTAGGGGTTATTTCACTTTTTTTTTTGGTATCATGGATCTCTATCTCCTTCCCTTTCCCTCCTCTCTCTCTTTTTCTCTGTCTCTGTTTCCCTGACTCTCTGTCTTTGTCTCTCTCTGTCTCTGTTTCTCTGTCTCCATTTCTCTCTCCTTTCCCTCCCCTTTAGAGGAAGATTGCCACAGGGTGTGTGCCTGTATACATATTTGCCTATGCAGATATGAGTTTTAGTTTGAGCTATGTCTTGGTAATTTATGCTACATTTATTTCAATTCAGGTGGAATTCAGAATCATTCAGATTGATTTTTTTGTCTGTTTTGTGGGCATGATAAGTCACAGTTTATGGCTCTTTAAGAATTGCAATATCATTACCCTAATTTAATAAATAAGGAAATTGAGACTGTGAGAAATGAAATGGCTTGTACATTGTCATACAACTATAATGTGCCTAAGTGGGCTTTGAAAGCAGATCTCCTAACTGATTCCAGGGCTCTTTCCAATATGCTACACTGCCTCTCATAAGAGAGTGCATGGGGGGGGTGGGTGGTAATGTTGAATGTCTATAGAAACCCATGTGATCTCTTAAGTGTTCCATAGTTTCATGAAAAATGTAGCTAGAGGTGACTTCTGGGGATGTTGGTCCTTCAATCATATTTATTCCCCCTCCCCCACCTTTTTTCATAGGATATGAGCTATTTGGGTTCATCAGTCACATGGGACCGTCTACCATGAGCGGCCATTATGTTTGTCATATCAAAAAGGAAGGCAGGTGAGTCCATCTTGGAAAAGAAGAAAAGGGCTTAGCTCTCACAAAACTGCTCCTGGCTTAGCCAAATAGCATTCATTATTGGGCACTATTGGTTATTTAGCGAAGATGGATTTTTAGCACCTTTTCTTCTCCATGATGCTTAATAATGTTAATGATGATGATAATATTTATATAGCTTTTTAAAGTTTTCAAAGTGTTCTATATATGTTCTTTAAATTCTCTGAGGTAGGTGTTATTCTCTACTTTACAGATCAGGAAACTGAGGCAGACAGTGACTAAGCGACTTACCCAGGATCACACAGTTAAGTGTCTGAGACAGGATTTGAAGTCAGGTCTTTCCAACTCATCAGGGCGTTAAATGGGTCCAGAATCTCGAAGATTTTGCTTATAGAGCACAAAGTCTGGTGGGTTCTCCCAAGCTGGTCAGGTTTCTAGGAAGGCCAGCATGGCTAAGTTTTGGTTGGTACCAGGATGACCTATTTTTTTGGTCACTGCAGCTAAGACCAGCTTCTAAGAGCTAGAAGGGTTGTAAGTACCAACTCAGATGGAATCACAGATAAAGCCCATCCTACCAGGCCTTGTCTTGTGTATACTTAAATATCCTCTGTGCTCTATCAAGGACCTTGGAGGCTTGGGGCTGGTCTTGGAATGGGACTGCCCTTGGCAGCCTCTTCAGACTGATACTTGCTGTCTCTTGGTCCTCCATGAGAATTCCATGAGTATTGGGTTAGATGGCTGATGAGGTCCCTCTAAAGCTTGAGAGTGATGATCCTTTGACCTGGGTTCAAATCCTGACTCTGATGTAGGACCCAGGCAGGTCCCTAATTTCCCTAGACTTCAATTTCTTTCTTTGTGGAATGAAGAGATTGGACAAGGAAGTCTCTGAGATCTCTCCCAGTTTTAAGTCTGTGCTCATTTTCCCCATTACCTTGTGTCATATAAATGCCAGCAATTATTATTGTGTGAATAATAATTAATTCTGAGAGGAAACAAGTTCTCCTGATTCTAATTGACTGTAAATGCATCCATTGCTTCTATGTTTTCCTTGCAGATGGGTGATCTACAATGACCATAAAGTGTGTGCCTCAGAAAGGCCCCCCAAAGACCTGGGCTACATGTACTTTTACCACAGGATATCAAGCTAGGCCTCCGATATATTCCTTGCCCAGAAGATGCCATATGCCTTCATAATTTGCCAAAAAATTTTAAAAAACTTAAAAAAAAAGAAGAAGAAGAGGAAGAAAGACAAAGGAAAAAAGTTGGGACTGCCGAACACCCAGGAATCCATGTGGTATTTATAGTTTAATTAAAGAGCCCCTTGGCTTTTTAATGCCTTCTGGAGTAGTAGTCGGAAAATTTCTCTTCTGTCATCCTAGATGGCTGATTGTTTTCTTTTGGTAAACATCCAAGGAAAAGATGTTCAGAAGCTTCTGGATTGCCAGTTGGGCTAGCTGCCCAAAAGCCAAAAATATGAAAGGGCTTTGCAGTGAATTCTAAGCTCTCATTGGACTTTGGGGGCCCAGAATGACCGTTAGAGATCTTCACTGAAACCAATTCATGTTTCCCACCTGCAGGGCCCTGCTGGATCCTAAGAAAGAGCTCCATATTACCTCATATGGAAAAAATAGAGGTGATCTCACATTGGCCTTAGATTTGACCCCACCCCCCCCCGCCTAATCACAGATGATAAATTCTGATCTATCCATATGTAATATATTAGAAGATCTGCCATGAAAATATTTTAAATTTGAGTCAAACCAATATTCATAACCTAATTGTGTGTGTGTGTATATGTGTGTGTGTGTGTGTGTGTGTGTGTGAGAGAGAGAGAGAGAGAGAGGGAGAGAGAGAGAGGGAGGGAGAGAGAGAGAGAGAGATTATCTTGTACAATCCACTTGAAATTCAATGGTTGAGTTATTTTAAATACTGAACCATTTGGTATTGGGTGTGGTGCAAAGAAGCATCCAAGCCTTTGAAGGGATCTATACCTCAGGAACAATCAGAACTCAGCTTTCCACTTAGATTTCAAGAGTAAAGAGGGGTGTGTCCATTTAGCTGCTATGAGAAATTCCCCTGAATAAGTGACACCCCAGCTCTCCACCACCATGCATTCTTAGCATGCTCTGGTGCTTTGCCCAAGGTGGTGAATTGTTTCAAGTCTTGCCAAAAGCATAGGCCCCATTTCCTAGTGAAATAGCTAATTGATCCTTATCAAGTTTTCTGGTGCATCCTCATGGGTCAGCTCCCCAAGACCTTGCAGGGCCCACCCTCAGACCAATGGTCATAGCCCTTTCTGCCAGAACATTTCACCAGCCTTTTTTCCCTATGTTTTCTGGGTGCCTCTTCTGTTCAATTGTTCTCCCTTTCTTTCCCCTGGCTGCTTTTCTCCACTTATCTGTTTTGGCCAGCAGAGATCATGGGAAACTTTTGGAAGGCAGAGTGAATTCATTGGTTGCTATATTATGAAAAGATCAGTCTGATTGTTTCCGTAGGTCAGTATTTGATTACCAGCCTAGTATCAGAACAGAACCTTTGAGACTATTGGAATTGCTATCAACATCATGTGAAACTTGAACTTTTTCTCATGTTCCCTCTGCCTTGCCCTAAGTTTCTGAGGATATTTGGTGTTTATACTATTCAATGAATTTCTTACTTACTCCTCCAAGTGAGTTGAGATTGATTGTTCTGGGTAAAACTTGAGTCCAACTGTATAGTGTGCTGAATTAGAAACAGCCTTTTGGTAATCAGGACCCAGATGTTCTCAAAGGAGGACAACAACAGTATGGGTCATAGGATTGGAGAGTTAGAACTTGGAGAGAACTTAGAGGTCATCCAGTCCAAAGTCCTTATTTTATAGAATGGAAAACTAAGGCCCAGAGAGATGAGAGATGATGTGATTTGCCTCAGGTCACACAGCTTTTAAATGGCAGTGCCTGGATTTGGCTCCAAATCATCAGATTCCAAGTCCAGGGTCCATCATGCTGCATTTCTATGGTAAAATGAGAAAAGCACACCAGGCAAAATGTCAGGAGCCCCAGACCCTGCCCTGCACTGACTTGGTGATCTCAGGCAAATCCCTTCACTTTCCTGCACCTTACTTTTCCTCGTATGTCAAAAGAGGAGAAGAATGCTTTCCCTCTGTGGTTTGAGGGAGGATGAGATGAAATGATAGTTGTCTTGGTACTTTAAAGTGGCAAGCCTCTGCAAACATTAGGTGGTGCTGTTAGCTCACGATGGGTCCCCTCTCCCAGTTGATAGCTTCTTTGACTTGAAAAATATCAATTAAAATTGGATAGATGGAGAGGATGCCTTCACTTTCTCTATCTGATTTCTTGGTCTAGAGAGTGGTGCAGATCTTTGGTTTTAGAGGTAGATGGCACAAGTAAATTGTACTCTTAAAACACTTGAAAGTAACAGGGGTCCCTGGGACTGAGTGAATAGCTTTCTTTTTTTCTCTCTTTCTTTCTCTCCTTCTCTCTCTCTCTCTTTCTTTCTTTCTTTCTTCCTTCCTTCCTTCCTTTTTCTTCTTTCTTTCTTTCTTTCTTTCTTTCTTTCTTTCTTTCTTTCTTTCTTTCTTTCTTTCTCTCTCTCTCTCTCTTTCTTTCTTTCTTTTTCTTTCTTCCTTCCTTCCTTCCTTCCTTGTTTCCTTCCTTTTTCCTTCGTTCCTTCCTCCCTTCCTTCCATTTTAAAAAATTTTGGTCCAGAGCTGTGATTTCTTCAGCATGGGAAACTCCTTCCATCTACAGAGATCAATAATTCCTACTCTTAGAGAATTGCTTGGGACACCCAGAGGTTAAGTGACTTGTCTGTGGCTGCACAACTAGTATATGTCAGAGGCAGGACTTGAACCCAGGGCTTCTTGAGAGATGACGTGGAACAGTGGAAAGTTCTCTGGTTTAGGAGTCAGAGGCCTTGGGATCAAATCCCTTCTCTGTTACTGACTGTGTGACTTGGAGCTAGGTATTTCCTCACCTGTCAAATGACGAGGTTAGAGCAGATAACCCCTAAGGTCCTTTAATAGCTATCAATAATAACAGCTAGAGTTTATAATAGTGCTTCAAGGTTTTCAAAGCACTTTATAAATGTCCCATTTGATCCTCACAAGAACCCCCAAAGGTAGGTGCTATTATCATCCCCATTATACAGATGAGGAAAATGAGGCAAACAGAGGTTAGAGTGATTTGTCCAGGGTCACACAGCTAAGTTAGTAAGACCAGATTTGAACTCGGGTCTTCCTGACTCCAGGCCCAGGGCTCCTTCCACTGTGCCACCTAGCTGCCATAACCTTAGAGTTTATTCAATCCAAGCTGTTCCTTTTACAGATGAGGAAATTGAGGCCCAGGAACACACAACTACTTAGAAGTGCAGCCAAAACCATGACCCAGGTCTGCTTGACTCCTAACCTCAGCTCTTCCCTCTCCTGACTCCCAGACCACAGGATCATAACTGCAGAGCTGGAAGGGCACAATTCAGGCACATGTTATAGATAAGAAAACTGAGGTTAGGTGACTTGCCTGACGTCATACAAATAGTAAGCATCCAGGAGGAAATTTGAACCCAGATCCTCTGACTCTGGAGATATTTCCTTTCTTTTACAAACCATCAAGGAGTCAGATTGATTTTTTTGGGGGAGGGGAGGAGAAAGTGGGCCCAGGGAAGCAATGCTTGTGAGCTTTTAAACGACAAATGACAAAACACCCAAATTTCTTTTCAAGGCTGTTGTTAAGGATTGAGGTAGTGCAGTGTAATGACACTGAGTTTGGAGCCAGGAAAAGTTGACTTGGTTTGAACCCTGGTTCTGCCACTGATTCTGTGTAAGACCTTGGTCAAGTCACTTCCTCTCTTTGGGGAAATTGACTCATCTTTAAATGAAGGGAGAGGAAGGGTCTGGATGACTGATGTCTAAGGTCCTTTCCAGCGTGGGACTGTTGCGATGGGACTCTATGTCCAATAGTCAGCATTTTCTGGGGCATAAAGCTAAATGCCCTGGAACATAGCATGTATATGTTGAACAAAATAGGATTTTATACCACACTATTCTGTGATGTTAAACTTCATTTTAAAAGTTGTTGATAATGGGGTACAAGGTAAAAGCAGAAAAATATTCCTTTTCTGCCTGACCCTACTATTGGGATGTGAGAGCACAAATATTGCTTTTTATCTGCCTTATGAAACAAAGGGCTGTTTCTATCCAGACAGGTTTTGTACCTGTCCACTCCTCCTCCCCCCACCAGGCCCCAGGATGTGAAATTCTTGATTAGATCAAATAAAAGTGGTTTCCTTTCCAGCCTTTTTAAACAAACAAACCCCTCTTACAGTCATCTGGGAAACATGGCAGCTGTCCCAGGAGTAGACTTGGAATGGGCCAGCCAACCTTCCATGAGGATACGAACTGAACTTCAACTGGAAACTGGAATTTTGTGTGTGTGAGAGATGCACTTAGCACACTGGAATGTTCTATGAGTGAGCAAGCGTTCTCATCACATGGCTATTGGAAATCTCTTGATGTAAATACCATTTGCTCTCCATCTGTGGGGAGAACCAGAGCTACTAAGAAGGTGCCTGTTTGGAAAACCTCCACTTTCAAGTCATCATCTTGTCCTGAGGAGGAGGCAGAGTGGAGAAGTGGGAAAACTGCTACCTTTGGAATCTGACGATCCTGATCTGAATCCTGGTTCTGCTAACTCTTACTTCAGTGACCCTGGGCAAGTCCCTTCTCATCTTCGTTCGGGCTTCAGTTTCTGCAGTACATCATATATTTCACTTTTGCCTCAAGGCAGTGAAAAGAGCATTGGGTTTGGAGTGAGAAGACCCATGTTCCAATCTTGGACAAGTCACTTAATTTCTCCAGGCCTCAGTTTCCTCATCTGTAATATGAGGGGTTTGGGCTAGATGGACTCTGAGGGCTCTTCTAGCTCCAAATTTTTAATCTCGTCTGACTTATAAAACCCGCAGCAAACTAGGAATCTACTTTGATCTTATGTGATATATTAATGGTCTCTTTAAAGGAGGGAGGGAAATAGGAAAAATATTCAACAAAATCTATTAAACACCTACTGTGTGCTGAGCAAATAGGTAGATTTCTCTTTTAGTCACTTAATAGGACATCCAAGGTGCTTCATTGTATTAGGTTTTTTAATGAAAATCCGTAATGTGAGACTAAGGCTGGGTGCCTGGGGAAGGGTTGCTATTATTATTGGTTGTTTCCAAGTTTTGGGGCTTGGTGTTTTTTCTTTCCCACTAATAGTATGGAAGCTCCTTGTGGGCAGGGCCTGTTTCATTTTTGGCTTTGTGTCCCCAGTGCCTAGCATAGTGCTTGGCAAAGAGTAGGTGTTTAATAAATATTTGTTGAATTGAAGACATCTCAGCATCTGCCTTATTTCCAGGACCTTGTCACCATCCCTCTTGTCCCTGAAAAAGAGAATTTTCCCCCTACCCTCTCTTCTCCCCCAACTCTGTCAGATCCAAGGAAAAATACCCAGAAAAGTACAGGTCTTGCCTCTTGAGTATCCGAAGAATGTCTTAAACTACACTGAGGTTTCAAATATTCTGTACTAAATCATGCCTTTGACATGGAGATGGATGGATTTTCCATTCAATAGAAGTCACTATAAAATCATCAGGATCCATGGAGATATAGGGAGTTCATATTCTCCAGAGCCACATATCTTCATGGGGTTCGTTAGAATGGGATACCCTTAAGCTTCACAATCTGGGAGGGAGAAATTTGAACTGTAGAAAAAGAGACTGCATATCATTTCCCCTAGAGTTTGTTGCCCATTTCGATTCCCTCATTAAAAATAGAAAGTAAGTCATCATCATTGACAATATTAATCATTGTAGAGGCAGCATTTGGAGCCTGCAAGACCTGGGTTTGAGTCCCACCCTCTGACGCATCCTGGTTTTGAGACTCTGGGCAGTTCACTTAACCTCCAGTGCCCCCAGGCAACTCTCTAAGACATGGATAGATTTCAGGGCTTCTGTAAACATGGAGGAGCCCCAAAATTTACATATTTAATTTCACTAACTTCTAACTAAAACGTAGCATTCCCTTCAATTATGGATTAAAAAAATATGTTATTCTGAGGAGTCCATAGGCTTTGCCAGACTCCCACAGGAGTCCATGGCACAAAAAAAGGTTAAGAACCCCTGCTGGAAAGTCAACAAGTCAAGTGAACAAGCCTGAAGGATGCAAATATAAAGACAGTTCCTATCCTCAATGAGATTATATGTTAATAAGGGAAGATAATAAGTAAAAGGGAGCTGAGGATGAGGGAAATACCCACATCAGGGCGTGGTGGTGAAGTCCAGAGAGTCAGAAGTAGAGCCCTGAGAGGAATAACACATGGCCAATTTGGACCCTGCCTCGAAATGGAGGTTCTGGCAAGATTCACCAATGGGAAAGGGGGGTTGCAGGGGCGGAAGGATGATCCAGGGTGAGATGCAGCTGAGGAATGGTGGCGAAATCAGGAGACTGGTACTTTTGGTTGCAGAGAGCTGACCTGCATTGGTAGAGGAAATTCCTCATTTGGAGGTTCCTTGTATTAGTAAAATCACAGGTCCAGTTCCTATCCCAATAGTTGTAATTATGCCTTACATTTATATAGCACTTTAAAGTTTGCAAAGCACTGTACATTTTGTATCTGACTTGAGGCTCACAAAAACCTTGTGAGATGCTGGCAGCCCCATTTTACAGATGAGGAAACTGAGCATCACTCACTAGAAAATGTCAGAGGTGGAATTTGAGCTGAGGTCTTCCTGATTCTAAATACTGCTCACTCTCCGCTATGCTGACCAGAGACCCCTTCTCAGAATAATGTTTTTAAATGCAAAAGAAGAATACACAGGATTAAGAAAAAACAATTGTAATTAAAGTTATCAAAATATTATAAGCACAAGTTCAAGGACCCCATGTTAGAAATCCTTTCTAAGGCACAGACTCAATAAGAAATACATTAGTAGAGAAAGTCCTCATAATGGGCACTCCCTACAAGTGAACAAAAATGACAAATCTTTTGAATATAAATTTTCAAATAAAATGGAAAACAAAACCAAAAATAAAGTCTACTGTATACACCTTACAAATCAACCCTCAGCTGAGGCTAGGACCTGTTTTTCATAATTTTAAGCGTCTTTCACAGGTTGTGGGAGTTTGCCACCTGAGTGCATCTGTTCCCAGAGTCTCCTTTTTGGTTTCCATGCCTCAGACAATCTTCTCCCCATTAATTTTCCACTGGATTCAGGGAAACTACCAAGCCCATAGTAGCTGTTTGGGGTATCTGTCTACTCCTTGTGTTAATAAACAGGAGCCCTTTCCTAATCGATCTTAGCTTGTTGGGGTTTGTGCCTATATTTGGGATGAATGGATTCTGTCCAATACCATGCACAATTGTTTGCTTGATACGGCCCCACAGATGTTTTGGAAGAGTGTTTACTGTGATGGAAAGGGATATGTGATTTCTAGTTCCAATGTTTTAAATTAAAAGATATTCTTACATCTTCACAACCTTT